TTCTGGGTAAGATTATTACATGAAGACAGATGAAATAGCAGTCATAGCGTAGCCATCTATATGCACAACTAAGCCATGATGCATAGCAAAATTTTCAAGCCGTGTACTGCTGTGTTATTATTTAGCTTGAAGATGTCTTTATCACTGGCATTTTGAACCAAGAAAGTGCAAGTATTATCGGTATTGATGAAAGCAGGTTCTTACGCAATAAAAATGACATATCCACGCTACCTAACGCTTGGTTCTGCCATTTGCGATCAAGAAACATCACGTTTGCGTATGGATACAACTTACTGAATAATAAATATCTGTTATACCTAGTCCACATTGTGTATGACCGTTTAGTAAAGCTACGTTTCAAGGATTCTGTTAAACGAGAAGAATCGGCATATTCGAGACATTGTAGTTACCCATGTACGAATGTTGTTACTACGTTATTTACATTGTTTGTCTAGCCGCCGCTAGCCGCCTTTAGCCGCTTCTGCGCAGTGTTGCAGTCTTCCAAGGGCTTTCCAAAACATTAAAAGGTTTGGTAATTGCAATCAGCATGCCGAACAATCCCACTAAACCAAGTTTGAGAAAGACTCGTCGTATCGATATTGGGGCCCGCATACCGGAATAGTGCGCAAGGGAGGCTAGCAGCGGCTAGCGGACACCATAAAGTGCATACTAGTCTACATCTTTCGGAAGTCTATGATTTCTATACAAAATCGGTCAACCGTATGACAAAGCTGCAACAGTGATTGTGTGCTACTATTCAAAACATCTCGCACAGGATTTCGAAACTGATTCTCGTCTCTACGAATACATATTAGGTCGTTCGATAAGTTCTGGCGTTTTTATAAACCAACAAGGTCATCATTTTACACTAAAACTCAATCAGCGCACGACCTCTTCGCACATTCTTGTTATCGTTTCAACCTCATTTCAAACGGCAGCGCGCCAGATCCCAAGAAAGCTATCTAAACAGCGCTCGAACTACTTACTGAAATCGAGTCATGCACCATTCATGAGGTTTGCTGGAGAGCGGAGCAAATGATAATCTGATAGAGCGAGATTTGGAGAATACCTTGGTTACTGAAGTACCTTCTAGTCAAATCGTGCAGGACAGTTTTGACGACGTTTGCCGAGGCCATGTTTCCTCATGCAAAAAAACCACTGGATCTGTCCATGAGGCTGTTTCTGCGGTAGGGCTGGTTTATACGGTGCAATTGGATTGCTTACGGTATGGTTGACCATCGCCTACTTATACAGCAGAAATTCCAGTACAGGACGTCCTGTCCCCTCGAAAACGTCATGTTCAAGGACCCCTTGCTCAGTCTCTGATCTTTCGTAACAATTCCATCCTTTTTATGTCCCATAGTGATGTGCGAGCGCCATGTTCCATAATCGATAAGAAAATCTGTGCAAAAACGCTTCTTTTCATAAGAAAAAATGCGCAAATGTCAAAAATGCTCCTTTTTGCCTTTCAACAGTTCCACCTTTGGAAGCTTTGAGATCCGTGTGAATCAACTTTCCTCCGGAATTAGTAGACATATTTTAAAGAGCACAGTCAGTCCTTCCCAACGATATACGCATCTTGCCGCAAATCAACCGCTCCTTAAAGGTATAAAGACGAAAATGAAAAGCTACGAACTTATGGAACGACCTAATAGTACGGCAAGACTATAAGGCTGATTATGCTAAGTGAAGCTAGTATCAGGACAAGAATAAACAATTTTTGTTTAATTTTGCCTCATCAAATTCTACTGCAGCGGAAAATGGAAACGTAGAATGAATGAAGAAATGATCCACAAAATATAAGGGGAACACTTAAAATTCTTCTACATCGAGCATATGCTCAGATAATCGCCGGGGGCAGGCGGTCGGCAAACTCTCGCTCTTCTGCAAGCGGTCAGCAGGATTTTGGGGCGTGGCCAAACCTTCAGCGAGCGGCACTTCCTTTACTATCTAATGTTCTGCCAGCGGGCAGCAACACAGAATTTTCTGCAGGCGCTCGTCAAATAATCTCTTTCAGCAAACGCTGGTCGAACTTTCAGCAGACGCTCGGACTCTTTTTACACAGTTTCGGGCATATGTCGAGCACAGGTAAGACTCTGTGCGGCAGAGGTGTCACCGTTGGTTTAATTATCCGAGTTTAAGGTACTTTCTCTCAGCGGAAAGTACCTGGGGGCTGCGCGGTCCTCCACAAAGGACCGTGCGGCCCTCAAAAATTTTCCATATTGTCGCGAAAAGTCCGCGAGAATGCGGCCACTGCGCCGCAACTAATCTATAAGAAAACTGCGATTGTTCTCCAAGCATGCGTCTAAAATTTCGCTAAAATTCTTCCAACTTTCTGCAAGCGGAACGCAAGAAATCAGCGAACTATTCTTCCGATGCCCGCCGCCCATATCGCATGGCCTGCCCCCGGCGATTATCTGAGTGGTTCTGCAAACGTAAGAAGTGTTACTGGCTCTTACATATGTATTCCATGTGATATTGAAACATTATTCAGTGCATAAAGTCCGGAAATGATTTTGTATTGGGAACGCCCAATGTTGACACTTCAGATATTCAGAAAACCCACAACGAAGAACTCCCAAGTCAACCTCGGCCTGGATGAGTCATACATCACCGTAACATGCTTGCAATGCTGATTCCAAATCTGCTTTCCTTTTCTGCGGAGTGACTCTATGAAAGAAGATATGAGAGTCAGAAAGTCATATTTGAAGTGGCTTATAAAATTAGCGAAACATCTAAACAACACTTCCACTGCCTGTTTACCGTCTTTGTAGTCAGTATAATTTATACAAAACTGAAAAACCACTTTTACTTGATATTGTCCAGCTTTCGCCAATTTTACACCACTTAGAGGCAGAAAAATTTTTAAAAAAAAAACCGGCTCCCATTTTTTTGCCGTCCCGGCAAAAAAATGGGAGCCGGGTTTCTGTGGCGATGTTAAAGTAAACCACCTACCGAAGCGATGACTGTAGTTTGGAGAGAAAAAGGGGGTCTACCTAGCCTGAAATTTGCTCCGAAAGTGGGCCGAATCTTACGGTAGGCCCGGACGCCGCCCACACAGCGGTTTCGAACTGCAAAGCCAAAGCCACACAGTTACTCAGATAATCGCCGGCGGCAGGCGGTCCGCAAACTCGCGCTTTTCTGCAAGCGGTCACCAGAATTTTGGGGCGTGCCCAGACCTTCAGCGAGCAACACTTCCTTTACTATCTAATGTTCTGCCAGCGGGCAGCAACACAGAATTTTCTGCAGGCGCTCGTCAAATAATTTCTTTCACCAACGCTGGTCAAATTCTCTGTTGGCGCTCGGACGGTTTCTAAGCAGTTTGGGGCGTACGCCGAGCAAAAGTGAGACTCTACATGGCAGAGGAGTCATCGATGGTTCAATTACCTCAAGTTTGAGGTACTTCCTCGCAGCGGAAAGTAAACGAAGGTTGTGCGGCCTCCACAAAGGACCGTGGCCCTCGAAATTTTTGCATATTCTAGCGGAAAGTCCGCGAGAATGCGGCCACTGCGCCGAAACTATTCTATGAGGAAACCGTGAGCGTTCTCCAAGTATTCGTCCAAAATTTCGCTAAAATTCTTCCAACTTTCTGCAAGCGGACCGCAAGAAATCAGCGAACTATTTTTCCGGTGCCCGCCCGCCCATAAATTGCATGGCTGCCCCCGGCGATTATCTGAGTATGAGCGCAGGGTCCCGCAACGATTCTGCTTCTCTACCTTGCATGCATCTCGTACTCATCCGAGCCTACCGTAAGATTCGGGCCACTTTGGGGGAGGGGAGGATTGTAGACTTCGTAGGCCCCCTTTCGCGCTGCACTTCTGTCGGCTTAGTTAGATGGTCCATTATTACATTATTACCAGAGCCAGGTATCCCCAATCTGGTGGGACGCTGCCTTTGATTGAGCTGAAAATCGCAATTATAACCCCATGAACTCCACCCAAACTAGATAAATTATACTATTTATTCATTAACTAGCTGGTAGTCCCGGTTTCACCCGAGACTCTAAATTAGTTCAACAAAAAGGTTTTACTTACACTTTCAAACTTGCGAAAAGCGCGTTGAGACGAACTGCCGCATTCTGCCGACGGTTAGAATGAGTTTTACCGCCCTGCTTACATGTTTATTACAAAATGATTGGTTAGAGCACGTTAAACTTTTACAGAGGGAAGTAAACACAATAAATCAATAGAATTTCCCAGCGAATCGCGCAAAAAGTAGCGCTAAACCACCTCCGGGGTCGAAAACATATGTGTGCAAAGTTTCAGCGTTGGTTCATTGGCTGGCGTTTCTATAACGAACGAACAAACGAACACAAGTTTGAGTTTTATATATATATAGAAGATAAAGTAACAAATACAAGTTTTAAGGATAACAGTCGAGCAATGGAATCGAGGCAATCACGTAAATAAGTGGCATGGGGTGATTAAATAAGAGGGACTGAGAACATGTAGTAGCAACATCTAGTAACATTTAGTAAAATCCCTTTCGAGCTGCGAACTTCTGCCGTCGCTTAGTTAGGGGGTATACTATTACATTACTACCATAGTCAGGTACCCCAATCCGGTGGGACCCTGCTTTCAGGACTCGACAAACTTGGACTTTCAGACGCTGAAAACTTTTTTTGTAAAGTTATTGCGCAGAAACAGAAAGCAGGTTTGGAATACGCGTTCCAAGCCCGTTACGGTGATATATGACTCATCCGGGTAGGCCGAGCTGACTTGGGAACTCTTCCTTGTTTGTTTCTTGCCAAGATCTTGTGGAAAACTTAGCACACGGTACTTTCTATCATTGCTTTGTTTCTAAATTGTTCCAGAAAATAATCAGAATACAAAAGAAAAAATGGAGTTGTCTTTCTTTTGAACTAATCATCAAGTTCACTAAAAAGGGTCTGCAGGCAGACCCCCTCAGCCGGCTTTTAGGCTAAAATGAATCCAAGAACAGATGGTGCCTGGTGACTACGAAAATAACAACTTGGAGGCAATGATGGTTCATTTTTATCGATGGTCGGCTTATGGAAAAATGGCTCCTTACTCATTGCCACTATACTTGAAGTGCGTTCCAAAATCTATCTTGATAGAACCGGTAGTCTAGCCAGCTTGGATGAGCCGTAATAGAGAGATCTGCAAGTAGGTATCGATCACTCCTAGATTTTCCTATATTCAGCATTTTGTATTGTCAATGTATTGTGTACTGCTGGTTTTATTTGCTGCGGTTACATGCCGTCGGAGAAAAACTGCAGCAAAAGAGATAAGACCTTCAATACGAACATTTTTAGCGGTAAGTAGTGCATCTATGAAATAGCTTTGTTCCCCATGAAGTTGCTAGTGGAAGTGTTCCAATGAGAACGAAATGGAGCTGTGCATTACGCAAAAATGGCATTGAAAGCTTATTTGGATTTGATATTTTCAAAGTTTTTGAGGGTTGTTAGCTTAGGACAGAAAGGCAAAGTCGGTTGGGATGGATTCTGGCTCTCTGGCCGATGACCCTAAACAAGAACAAAATGTCAAAGATAAGGTGCAGAATGAAGAAAAATTTGTAGAAGAAAGTAAGCCAATAAAAACAGATGAAAACGCTCGCTATGGCAAGTTTTAGAGAAAACACAAGCGTCAGAACAGCAGTTACTGGACGTCGCTCAAGAAATGTATCAAAAGCAACAAACGAGATTGGCTGAGACGCAGAGGATAGGTATGACATAATCTATCTAGAAGAAAACACATCGGGATTTTTCAGACCAGGATGGAGGTGACTACGAAAATTTCGGACCGTCTAAAAGTAGACCCAATACTCCAGAACGTTCAGATGATTTGGTTGTCACTGCACGTCGGGCACTAGCTTCAACTTCCACCAAGGAAAAAGATGCGACCAGAAATTCGACGAAGAAAGATAAACCACCATCTGCTCGCTTGCCTACGGACGCAACTCAGGACATGAGCATAGTGGAAAAGTCAAAGATGTACAAGATTAGAAAAGGTGAAATCGCTATATGAGAGCAAAGATTGCGATGTTAGAAATTCGAAATGACTCATTATTGATTCATCACTGTTCATCGACTAATAAAGCAAATTTAATTCAAGCTGAATGCGGAAGTTGTTTCATGTTTGCAGAGACTGACATCAACACCGCCTTATTTCTAGAAAGTAAGAACGGCGCTACTTGTTTTTGGTAGTAAGATAGCGACAAAATTTTGCTTTCCACCGAGAAAGATGCGGCCAAAATGTGAGGAAAGAAAAAGTACGCAATAGTATACGATATAATGTTCCACGAGATGTTGTCTAGATACGTCAAAATAGCGATGAACACATCAACAGCTTCTTTGGCACAAGTCACCCATGCTAATAGGATCAAACTATGTAGTCCAATCGGGATCAAGCCGAACGTTAGCGTATTTGCGCGTTCGCAGCTCTAGGAGTTTCAACTGCATGTGCGCACTGTCAAAGCAAAGAGCTCAGACATTAGCAGTTGTCACCCGCAGGTTAAAATGATGTGATCTCATTGACCAACTGCGCGTCACAGGAAATCGGTGTCGGGGCAAAATCGGGACACCTGTGTTTGCATCGGGGCAAGAGTGCGGGGCATTCTCCGGTCATAATCGGATGACCTGCGGGAGACATCCTAATGCCCCGATCCTTGCTTCAAGCTGTGGTTCACCTTCGTAAGTGTATATATGTATATATTAGATATTACATATTATATGTATTATATATGTAGCGGAAGTATACATATGGTGGAACACACAAGTATATAGTATATACTCTATACTTGTGTGTCCCACTTTTACCGTGCTGTCTTCTTTCATTGTTACTCACAAATCATGCTATAGTATTTATTCGAAACTTCATGGTAGGGAAAAATCTACAGCAGCGCAAAATTAAATAAACTACATCGAAAAAACACTTCACAAAAACACTGGAATTGCACTAATATGTAGCTCGGTCAGCATCAAGATAGTAGGCAGGCACATCCGTGTTGAATAGGTCCCAAGACATTACTCAAGCCCCTAGAAAGATAGTGTTCAGATCTTGAAGCTTGTGCAGCGATTATTTCAAAATCAAAACTAGTATCAAAAGTACATAACGACTATTTTATCTTGATAATGAGAGTCACACTGAACACTTGCGGAATCCTACATGTAGCCTCTTACCAGTATCAGTCAGCCAAGCATCCCAGACTCGATTGGGATTGGGATTAGATTTAGACTGCAAGAATACCTCCACGATTGCAAGCATGAGTTTGTCTCCAGATTTTGCGTGTTTTTACAATTAAAAGAGTGTTGGATAGCCGATAGAAAACTGATGTCAGTGTTGCGAACACCACTTCTGAAAAATTTGGGCACTCACCAAAACGAAATCGACAATACTACCGACACTAGTGGAGAAGTGCTCGCAGCCAAATCTGCTGCAAGAGAGGGTAGACTGCATAGCGAAAAAATCTAAAAGCAGATAATTAAGCCACTCAATATCTCACTGAATTACATGTACACCTTTTCAACACCATTCTTCTCTACAAACCCTTCCAGATCTGAGATCTGCGAGCAACTTGTGATAGCTTCGGAAATTTGATGGCGGATAAATGTGCGCAGCACAGTCTATGTACGACTGCTTTAAATCACCTTGGTCAAAATGAGAATGTAGTCTACCAAGAGTAGTAACCGTGTTTCATACTTAGTATCGGAAGACATTTTAAGTCTCTATAAAATGTGTAATCATGATCTTCGCAAAATGAATTTGATAGTTCAAAAAAAGCCCACCATCTTGTCAGCTACGCACTTCTTCCCACTGATTTCATCCAGCTCATTTCAGCCTCTTCATCGTCGTCAGACATTTCCTCATTTCCTTTCAGACGGCGACATTGGAAGCTGAATGTGACAAACTTTACTAATGGTTCCTCTTCATTATCTACGGCTTCAACGAAATCATTGCCACCATCATACGAGTACGCCCATCGTGAATGTTATTCATCGGCCGTGTGGGCCCTGCAATGACAATATTCCGAATACCTGCTACTTTTGACTAATATTATATCAAAATGGAGGAGATACATCACGTTTCGAGCAAAAAGAGGTGACAAGAGATTGACCGTCGACCAACAAAACCGAAAGGAAAACGATAAATGGAGCTGACGGTATTTCGAAATCCGCGAATCGGCGCAAAATCGCAGTAAAATCCGGGTAAAACTAAATCCATGTCTCCCGCCGGTGCACCGGGTTTTGCTGCGATCAGCCTTTTGTGGGCGGTCCACCTGCGGGTGACAACTGCGAATGTCTGAGAGAGTGAGTAGAGAGCAGACAAGTTGTCTCAGACGTGACGCAAACCCTCGCGACGCGGGCCCCCTCCATGCCAATTACGGCCTAACTGCAATTGGGACAGACAATAACCTCGATTATTTCTAAAATACATGAGTGTGCACACTACGCGTGGCAATCTACGAAACCCCTGCTGTAACTATTTACTGTTAGCGAACAAACATTTGCATGAGAGACTATAAAAATGTGTACCATCAACTGGTACATATCAATTCTAAGCAGCTTCAAAAGATATCAATAACCCGCTTTTCAGATGTGAAAAGTGCTTTTGGACGGACAGCATAAGCCGGCCATCTAGAGCGCGATTGGCTTATGAGTGGAGGCACCGTACCCATCTCGGCGGCAATTAGAGTACTGGCTCCAGCAGGGGTAGGGGAACGAAAGCCGCCAGTTTGAGCCGCCTTTCGCGGCTAACTGGTCCTTTGTAAGACCGATGTTTCTACTGTATGGATGTCGCAAAAAAGAAAATGTGATCAGTAAATGGAGTGGGAGGAAAAAGGCAAAAGTGAGTCAGTACTATATTGTTTTGGAGCATTGCTTGATTGTACTTGGCACTTGACTGTATCGCGCCACGTTGATTCTGACCGATTAGACACTAACCTGGTTAGTGTCTAATCGGTCAGAATGATTAGATTAATTGATGTTTGATTGTTTACCCATTGTTTGAGATGTGTTAGTAACACCTCTCAAACATGGGTAAACAATCAAACCTTCATATGGATTTAAAAACAACATGCAAGAGTAGAAATAGCAAAACAGCATTGATTTTATGAGCATAAATTTACTTTGCAACTAACAATAAGTAATTTACTAATAGAAGGCACAGATTTATGAGTGAAAGCAGATGAGCGCAAACATAAGCAACTAACCTCACAGTACACTGCATTCTTTTTATATGCATAAAACCGCATCAAAGTCACGATACATGGAATTCCCCTAGCACACCAAAGTATTGTGAGGAACCCACATCTGATGATAACATCCCATTCTTGGGAAAGATGCTACAAGCTACTGGGCAATACTATATGTTGTGCGGTTGGTGTGAACGTACACAATTCTGAGGTAAAAACAGCGCTATGAAATACTGAGTAGGTATAATTAATTTGGTTATCTTTTGACTTTTCAGACTTTGAAGAAGGCGAGTTCGCCGAAACGTTAGTCTGTATTCTGTTCTGTGCGATAAATCTGTACCAATCTTGGACTACGCTCAAGCAACCAACGAGAAGATTTGGTCATCGTATCTCGGCAATGAGTCCTATGAAAATTTTGGATGACTAAAATTTTTAGACACAATCGCTGAGTAGGTTGCTGTTTCCACTGTTTCCGCTAATCATATTTGTCGATAGGGAGAAGCGTAAAAATTCTTGAATTTTCGAAGAGTTGAGTTATCATGAGGAGCAGACAACATTTCTCCTAATGACAGAAAAAGTTGTCATAATACGGAAACGGTAGGTTAGTAGCTCACAAAAATGAGATCTAATTTTGCGACAGGTTACCTACACAGGGGTGTCGTGCAAAGTCTCCCAAAAGTATCGTTGCTCTCGACTTCGTGCTGAAATGTTTCGCGTCTATCTGCGTTGCACATAGGTACATTGGTCTTCGAGGGAAACTTCAAAAGTCTCGATTTCTAGCATTCACTTAATCTTATCCGCGCTAACACCAAAATCCATTTTACTAAGAGAGTATTTTTAGTCAAAGTATATTTTTCTGATAAATTTTGTATACTTTTGAAAGGGGTTGAACCTGCACTACTCTCTTTGAGAGCTGGAGGGGTCGTATCGCTCATTCATATCCAACCCATTGAGCGCGAGCTATAAATTCTCTTTTCGCAGTAAAGTTTAAACTTTCAACCAGCTCTTGTTATTATTTTATTTTTCTTGCTCTCTATCAGGATGATCTTGTTTGAAGCAAGTTCATTGAGCGCATCAATGTATGCATAGATAAAGTAAATTGAAAGTAACGATTACATCACTCGATATGCTTTCATTTTTGCTACAGAGACACTTATAACTGGCGTCCAGTGGCGCTCTGTGAATAGATGGCTATCAGATCAGCGTTGCATCACATCCAAAATTGTGTAATTTACTGCAAAAGTCGCTTTGACTGGAACTTTTGTCAAAAAAGCGCGAGGACAGCAGGAGAACGGGCTTCCTCCGAAAAAGTCTATTTCCTGTTTAAACGGCTCCCGCCGAGGCTGAGGCGCTGAGTCTAGGCTTTTCAGTGGAGAGTCACGAAGCCGACGTGTCCGGTCAGTACATATAATCACAAAGGGCACAAAGACTAATTTCGAATCTGCTTTCTATATCTGCGCAACGCTTCTGAGAAGAGTTGTTTGTTCGCGAGAAATTGGCAAGGCTGAGGATAGCCACAATTAGTAACACCTAAGCATTTTAGACTCAAATCTATTAAGAACAGCATATCCCTGCGCACTAAGACTCTAGCCCTTTTTGAGATCGGCGACAGGTTGCCGCCACCGATTGCCGAGGTTGTTGGTTGCCGTTCAAAGAGCGCATAGCCCGAGGAGACTACTATGGGTCCCAAACCTGCAACTTCAATTAGACACTGCCTCCGAGGACTACTGGTCCTAACACGACGTGCAGCAGCAAAAGAACCAGCATTCCGCGGTGGTAGGGCCCAAATGAGGTATTCGTTCCACTACCCATAGTCTATCAAAAAATGCAAATTGGGTGATAAAAGAAGTTTTTTTTCCAAAGACGTTTGTAGACAGGGAAGGCAGATTTGAAATTAGCGTCCCCGGCTGTTTGTGATGACTTGCATTTTGTAGTGATTGGTCACTTCGACTTCGCGACTCTCCCTTGTAAAGGGCCTGGGCATACTTTACGCGATTTCAGTCGCGACGCGATCTGGCAATTCGCCAGAAGTCTTCAGATTCAACACTAGCAAACTGCACATGCATATGTGTATAACTTACGTGGATTGATAAAATGCCCTATCTTCTGTACATTTAAAATGTGCTTACAGTGAGTTATGGACAATGCGTCGCGACTGAAATCGCGTATGTATGCCCGGCCCTTAAGATGTCGAAAACATTGTGCAAAAATGGGCACTTTTTAACATTGGGACTGATTGAGAGTCCTGACTAGATACATGTGATCACAGCAATTGAACTGAAGCACAGCTCAATGACAGCAATTAAATTGTTTATTAGATCGTGATTACATGCTTGTTGCTGTTTTTCTGACACGAACTGGCCTTCTTATTTGATTGCCGTTTCCATATCATTTGCTTCGTTCGGATCCAAGTTGTCATAGTCTCCACATTCTTTAGCTTAATCAAAATCTTGCAGCAATCTAACATCTATTCACTTGCAGTCCCCAAAGTTTTTATTTTCTAACTCTCACCCATTTCCTCAGCGGCCGCCATCATTTCGCTAAAGTCAGCGCCTTCAACTGTGACTGAAAACGAATCAAATTTTTTACATGCAACAAAGACTTTCGGAAAAACTTCACACATTGTGACGGTCTCCTTCGAAGTCTAACACGGGATATTTTCTTTTGTTGAGGCTTTGGCACAGGTTTCGATTCACGCGAACGCGAACGTTCTTCCTTGGAACGTTCTTCTTTCTTTAACTTCTCATCAGATCTGCTAAGGGTAACACGTCGCTCAGGGTGCGGAGCCTCCAAAACCATGGGTGATTTCATTCCCTTTGTTGAGTGCTGTCTAGTCTGATTATCAAGGTGCTATAAAATTTGTGGGAAGACTACTGCATCTGTTTTTCAGGCAGACTCACCACCGACCTTCCTGCAGGTTCTGCCCTCCTTCTTCTACAGCACAGCGCGTAATTTATGAGTATCAGAGATACAGAGAACTGAAACACGCGTGCTCGATAAGCTGTATCTAGAATTTAAGGGAAATCCGTCAGGAACCGATTAGAAGAAGAGCAATGAGATACAATAGTCGTTGAATCTAACTTTATTTTCCGATCATCGTTATAAGCTATGTGCTGCTTGATGTGTCACTACACTGAGTTCAAGGTAGCGTCCAAGCAGATCTGGATCTATGGGGATTTTACGTAGAAAGTACTGTTAGGGCTCTAACTAAAGCACTGCCCAAGCGGCAGCGCAGGTAGTGCTATAACGGCCGAGATATTCCCCTCGAAACGGGACCCCGCGGTCGTTCGCATGGATTCATGGCAGTTTCGCGCCAGAATCCACGCTTTACGCCATGAATGCATGGGAAATACGATCGCGGGGTCCAGTTTCGAGAGTAATATCCCAGCCGTTAGAGCGCTACCTGAGCTGCCGGTTGGGCAATGGCTTAGTTGGGACCCCAAAATTACTATCATCATGTGTCCAGACTTGCCTGGACGCTGCCTTTAATGGCAATGGCTTGGCAAGCTCAGAACTGCATGGATTTCAGGGTGACTCACCAAAGTGATCAGAGAATCGAGTAATAACCGCCAAATCATCGCGAGTACTGTTCGATAAATGAATCGTACTGTATTTCCACCGATCATTACAAGCTTCATATTCATCGAGCATCCTAGTGATAGGCGGGGGGGACGACAGCACATCTAGTGAGCAACATTTTTCATAAGCTTATTTTCTATGCACTGCCTTTTTGAAAAAGCAACAAATAGTATACAACTTACGTACTGCACTATACTAGACCAGGGTACTAGGTAACTGTAAAAGAAGTACTACTATGGACAAGCTTGGCAATACAGTTTTTGGCAAAGGTGGTCTGCACCCACTAGTAAGATCATATCTGCGGGGTTACAAGGTTTAATCGAGCATGTAATTATTGGACTTCTGCTTTTCCAGAAATGGGTCTTTCCCTGTAAGGACGGGGTGGATAGGACGAACTTATCTATATATATTTTTGTTTATATGTCTTCCTATATATATATTTTCAAATTCTTCTGTAACCTACAGGATTGGCTCTTGATCGCCGCAATTTTTGGAATTTTCTCTCCTTGCCTTCCTACTTTACTTTTTTCAAGTTGATAAACCACCTCGATTTCCTTGCAACTTTGTCATCTATCATCAAATTCGAAGCTGTATGCTTGCTGCAATCCTTTAGCTAAAGCTTGACCCCGCACGGTAAATCTCAGAGAAGTAAAAAAACATTTTTGATTTTTAACACTGATTTCTTATATGTGTGTGAGATACTTTTTTTGTCTTATCTCATTGAAAACTTCTGGATCTTTTTCTCACAACAAAACAAGTGTAGTAAACAGTCTCTTATTACCGGGCTTTTTTCATCTTCTTTCTTGTTGATTGGCTTTTGCTTTATCTTTTCTTACATGTTCTCAGTTCCTCTTATTTAATCACCCTATGCCACTTATTTACGTGATTGCCTCGATTCCATTGCTCGACTGTTATCCTTAAACCTTGTATTTGTTACTTTAATAATGAATAAATAGTATTTTGATAGTATGATGGCGTGATTTAGAATATCTAGTTTGGGTGGAGTTCATGGGTTATAATTGCGATTTTCAGCTCAATTATAGGCAGCGTCTCCCACCAGGTTGGGGATACCTGGCTCTGGTAATAATGTAATAATAGACCGCCTGACTAAGCGACGACAGAAGTTTACAGCGCGAAAGGGGGCCTGCGAAGTCTACAATCCCCCCCCCCCCCCAAGTGGCCCGAACCTTACGGTAAGCTCGGGCGAGTGCGAGATGCATGCAAGGTAGAGACGAGTCGTTCCGGGACACTGCACTCATGACTGTGTGCGCTATACGCACTCTGGCCTTGCAAATCGATATTGCGGTGTGGGCGGCGTCCAGACCTACCGTAAGATTCGGACCACTTTCGGAGCAAAATTTCAGGCTTGGTAGACCCCCTCTTACACTTCGAACTTCAATCATCGCTTGGGTAGGGGGTCTACTTTACATCGCCACAACAATCCGGCATCCATCTTTTTGCCGGGAAGCTGCCTTTAAGTCAGTTGCAATATGCAAAGTATACGAGATGCTGGGTCTCCGGAAAACTCAATTTTTTAGAGTGGTCTCCAGTGTGCTGAGTGCTCGGTTTCCAGTGAAAATAACTTTTAACTTCAGGAAACAAATCCGGGTCCGGGCGGTTCCCGAGCAAGTGGAAAACTACTTCTCAGGAGCCGCAGGCGCTTATTCAAAAGTTCTTCTGAACCCCAAGACCGACTGCCTGAGTTGGTTACCCAACTGGAGTAGCACAAGAATCCCCAACAATGCTGAAAAAGAACAGTCGAGCACGGTAACAAATGATATATTTTCCTCATGACCAATCAAACAAACATAACAACGCAGTGCAGTGCACCGTAACAAACGTCAACAAACATAAAACAAGCGGATTCCCAAACACTCATGTGGCTCTGATACTCTATTTTTAACGCTACCGAAATGCCTGATAGGTATTCGGTAGCCAGCCATGAGCTCATTTCATAACCACGCATTGAGGAGCAAAGAAAAGAACGGGAGGTAACATGCGAAGGCTAAGCCATGCGATTCTACTAATGTAAGAATAGCTAGGAACTTTGTTATTCTAATAAATTAAAAATCAGATCTTGAAATTTGTCAGCGGGTCATTCTTTTTACGATTGTGGAGTTTCTGGTTTATTGATTTCCCTTGAAGTTTCCGTCGATGGCGTTGACCAGGTTTTACTTTTCTCTTTGTGCTCACAGAAAAGTTTATCCCTCGTAAGGATTTTGGTACTGAAAATATAAACTTAGAACTTTGAAACTTATTAGCACTACCAAACATACTCAAGTTCGCTATTGACTGATATAAGTTGTCAATTAATGCGCGTTCCTACATCGCAGCAGAATGAGTGAAAATAGAATTATTAACGAAGCAAAGCAGGCTTCACAAGATGGCATTTGAAAAATGGCAAAAAGTTCAAATGTGAGGTTTAGAAACAAAATAAAAAAAACTTGCCCAAAAATCTCCATCCAGAGAAATCCTACGAGTCCCTAAACAGGGCACATTTATACTGTCTACATCAGACGATCACTATTGCTATTTTTTATGACCAAAAATCGAAAAAAGCCAAATTACCAATCCTGCTAAATTACACATTTCTCGTCAACTGAGCTATAGAAGGCTAAACTGTCATCGAACTTGCAAAAGTTGATAGTATAAAATTATGCACGTGTGAACAACTCAGCATGGTTTTATCATAAGATGGCGATTTCAAATTATCGATTTCTGGCTCTTTTTTTAAAAAAAAATACGCAAGTTTAGTGGATGTCTGAGGACAATATATCCGTGACCTAGTTGGCCTTTCACAAGATCTTTTCGAACAAAGATCTGATTACTGCATTCAATATTTTCTAGTTTCTGCCTCCAAAAGTCATGCAGACCAAACTATTAAAGACACACAGTCACCCTACGTTAGGGTTCTTCAGCTTATTACTAATAGTATAATCCTTCAAGCAATGTCAAGTCGCGAACATCGCTCAGAAATGATGAAGAGAGCAGAGGACAACTAGGCGGCAATGCCCCCTCCGGTAATGCCCGCCCATCCGTACTCACCCAACCAATCCCCGTTCCGAAGACCGTCCCGCTGGTTCCCCGGAACGGGAAGGAGTTCGCGATTCTCGACTTCTTACACAGAATCAGGGACATGAGAACGCCCCGGAGCGACGCTAGCTTTATGTCATCTTGCAGGGCTTGCTTTGTTCTATCGTATGATGTGTTCCTATATTTTTGTATGCTGTACCGCGGTAGCGTAAAGACAATGCACTGATTTCAGGATAGCCTCTTAGAGAGCTGGTTTGCCGAGGCACTACTGTGTAGGGTCTAGGAATTCTGCAAAGCTACAACTTCTACTACTTCAGTCCTCAAGACACACTACTTCGACATCGTGTTCGTATGCTGGTCATGCGCTCACCGCCCTCTCATTAACGATGCTTAACTTTAGGATTAAGAGACGGTACAAAAACTAAGAATTTTCTCCCTCTAATGCGTGCGACTAAAATTTTGCAATGAAACTAACCCATATAGTCGGGCACATCTGCGATGGCGGTTGTATGCACAGCTACAGTTGTCGGTCTCGTTGACGTTTCCATCAGAGTCTTTTCTCTTGGGTTATTTGCGAAGAAAGATTGCAACTTCGCCGATCTCATGATCTGCAACAAAACAAGCTGAAGCAACATAATCTCAAATCTAAGCCGAGTAAACCTCCAGCTTGATCTCCTGCATCCGAGCTGCCTTGATTACTGACTTCCCACACTTCGAAAGCACTTCCTAAATGAGCAGATAAAACTGGAAAACAAAAAACAAAGTGATAAGGATACCCTCGTTCTAAGTACAAAAGAATCCAACTCTTTGATGCGAATCTCGTACGGGATGATAACTTTGCTGCCCACTGAATAAACGTTAGTTGGTAACTACCAAAACAAAGCAAAGTGAAAAACTGACTCTGAGTGTTAATCTCCTCTTGGACTGTGTCCAAGTACGGTCGCTCGGCAGGCGTACAAAACGACAAAGCCGTGCCTTTGTTCCGTCCTCGTGCTGTTCTGAAGGAAAACTTAACGATTAAACCAACAACTTCAAAATCACAAAGGTCGTACCTTCCAACGCGGTGGATGTAATTGTCAGTAGACGTCGGGAAATCCAGATTTACGACATTGCCCACTTGATGAAAATCAATTCCGCGAGAAACGCCGGACTCTTTATCTCGACGGCCCGACTATAACTTTTTGGACTATTTTTTTGAAACCAATTTAGTGATACTCACCTCCTTTGGTTGAACACTGTCACTGCCAAAGGCGTCAGAAGCGTCCGAGGCTATTACAATATCACATGCACCGTTATTATATTGATTGATAACATGAAACCGAGAGTTAGCAGGCATAGATGAGTTTAGGATGCATGTCTTCAGCCCAAATGCTCGCAAAACTAGTGAAGTCCTAAAATTTGACGAATCTACAATAAAAATCAAGTGGCAGCTTAACAAAACCCACTGGATAAAAAATGATTAATTGAAATAAACTTACAAGTAGCACCGATTTGTATCATTAACGAAGATTATAGTTTTTCCCACGATGAGACGAAGCTTGAACATTGCTACTAGGATAGCGAAACGCTCAGTATCATCCAAACATGTGATTTGATATTGTGTCAGCTGATCAACATCGGGAAGATCGCCTTCCTTAGAAAATAAGTTGAAGTTAGTTATGCATACACAAAAAGTGATTGACAAACCTTTAGTTTCAATGTTAACACTGGTCCAACCATAAACAAACTCTTCAAAGCACTCATGTCATCTGTGATAGTAGCTGAGGTAAGAATGCATTGATAGTTGGCGGGAAGATACTGCTTCAGAGCACTACAATAAACATGTAAAAGCGCAATATGACGTTAACGCGGACAAACCTCATTTCCTCTTCGTATCCAAAAGACAACAGTAGATCAGCCTCATCAAGTACAAGATGCCGAACATCCTTGCAAAAATTCGGACGGGCTACCAGCATTTCAAGAATTTTGCCAGGCGTAGACACAACAAAATGTGCAAAGTCCTGGAAAAGAGCACTGTTGAACAGAGAAAAATACTTGAAGTTGAAAATCAATGAAAATAAGTAAAATGAAAAATAAGATTAAGTATATTCAAATTAACGTTCAAAGTAAAGTTTTCACAGACTTACATTTTCCCATACAGACTTCTCTTCTGATGTCAAATCAGAGAGATTCAAAGTGCGCAGAAATGGCAAGGGTTCTAGCAGTTTAACCAAGAGATCGTTAATCTAAAACGGGCCAAGCTGCATCAGATGGTAAGAGAAAATAAGAAAAACCTACCTGCACGCATAACTCTTTCGTTGGGGCAATGAACAAGGCTGATGGTCCTTGCGGCTCTCCATCGTCCTGCTGGAAAAAATCAAGATTTCAAACAAAAAGAAATCAGATCAATCAGAGACGGATTCCTAACAAGCTGTAAAATCGTATACTTAGCAGAAGTTCTCGCAAATAGAATCTTCTCAATCTATTCCAAGCTTTTAGATTTTCAAACCATCCTTACATTTCGTTCGTAGACTCTCAACTACGGCATGTGAGCGAAACCCTCGTTACAGGCTAGTTGTGATGATAAACAAGTTCTATGGAGAAGTTCAAACTTCTTAGAACCAGGTCTACTTCATTTTCAGAACAAAAGTCCAGAAAAGCTGCGAAGAATTAGCGCGATGATAAAGCAGCAGCCTCGGGCTCAATGAGAGTCAAGATTTAACGAAAAGAAACTAAAAGTGGTGGAGATTTGGTTTACCCCTCCTGCGAGATAGCAAAGCGGGGGCGATTGGAGCCAATTTACGCAAAAAAAAAAAGATGGAAGAGATACCAGCGAATGGGTGGAACATTCGTCAGGATCTACAATCGCTAGTAACATGATTCAGAAAAAAAGGAAAAAGAAGTGGTATGTGCAACCTCCGGTAAAAGCAAACACAGTTAAGAGAAGCAGAAACGACTGACCGAGTAAGCAATGCACTTTTGTATGATCGGGATAAGATATGCTCCAGTTTTGCCACTTCCAGTTCGAGCTCTAGCCATGATATTCTTGTCTTCGAAAGCCAAAGAAAACATTGATTCTTGTACCTGTGTTGGCCATTTCCATCCAAGATTGCCAATTGCCTAGAAAAAGCGATATGAATACGAACAAGACTTTGGAGAAGTGATTTACCTTCAGAATTCTTTCATCAATATCGAAGTCGCTAAATGTTTTAGCACCAACTTCTGGCTCTACCACACTCAGTTTTGGTCTTTTGAAGTCTCCTTGCTGTTTCTTGCTAAAATAATGTAAATGAGGCAATATACTAATACCAGAAATTGTGTTAGTTGTCACGACTTACTGATGCTTGTTCTTGCGTATACGCTTTCGTTTCCGTGGCCCTCCTTCCGCCTCGACTTGTACTTCTGCTTTTTGAGCCTAAATGGGGAAATAGAGGACAATGAGCATGATTTGTCACCGAAGCGATACCTTCGTTGTATCGTTAGACGTCTCTACATCATGAGATACTTCAGGTAAACCTTCTGCTATTCGCACTTTACGTTTGTGTTTCTTCTCTTTTGCTTGGCGCAAAAAATTTTCCTCGGTAGCCTCATTCTCATTGTTTTTTTCGCGCTTTTTCTTCAAAGTACCCATTTCCCTGGAAGAACACATGTAACGTCATTTGCCAAACTGACAATAAGCAATTCAGGTAAGCATAAACTAAAGATTGGTTGAAAACTTTAAAGGATAAAACGGCGCAAAAACAAAATAAGCAAATCGAAATTTCAGAGTAGGCGTAAAGTCGATTGTGGATGTTGCAGAGAATGCCGCGATTGACGCTAATTTCGAAAACCGGTTAATTACCTTCTTGTTTACTTTTTCCTAATGGTTTGTAATGCAAAATTGGTGATCGCGGGAAATGTTTCAATGAAGCTGTCAGCGTTTTCTTACACTGTCTCGCTTTTACACGAGGTCCAATCTGTAATTCTCATTTCTGTTCCTTTTTTCACGTTCTCACTGCTCGGTTTGACTGTTTTGTCATATGAATATGTAACCTAATCTAGTTGTGTTAAGGTTTCGATTCCCGTTGCTCGGAAAATCTATGAACCATTTTTGCAAATTTTATTTGAAAAATGCTGCTGTTATGACTGCGCCTTTCGTATTTGAATTCCCAGTATCGACTCTAATCACATTTATTGCGTTCAGTCTTCTGCTTCTCTCCATCCAGCATATTGTTGGCGACTGTAGTCTAGGACTTTAGAAGAATGGAGACAAACGAGAAAGAGAATTTTGACCTCAGCACGATATCTGCTGAGACTCGTGATATCGCTGAGTCTTCCTCAAAATCGAAGAAACATTTTGTTTTGGTAAGTAGTCTTTTCTCTCATTCGAATTATTCACTCATTAATGAAGTGCCGAATTAGTGCAAATCCTTGAGTTCAGAGTGACGAAGATGTTCCTTATGAAGAGGATATATTGAGAAATCCGACTTCTCTACGTAGTTGGCAGCGATACATAGACCACAAAAGAAAAAGCAATGCTCCTTGGAGGCAAACTTGCCAGGTCAGTCGGAATTTTCTCATTCAGAATAGGTCCATTTTATTGGTACTGTCGAACCTATGAGTTCTGTTTTTTTTTTCTAATTTCAGATTTACGAACGTGCTCTGAAAGTTTTTGATCGAAGTTATAAACTGTGGTACAACTATTTGCGTTTTCGTCAGCGCGTTATAGCTCACAAACCACCTACGGATATATCGTGGGCACACCTCTGCGATGCTTACGAACGTTGTCTCATACACATGCACAAGGTAATCTACATCTCAAGCTGTTTTTGTTTTCGTTCCGAGGAATTTTTCGATATTTACCACTATCACATACTTGACTTTGTTTTCGGCGATTTTTTAGGATCAGTTTCATTGTTATTCGAAGTTTTTGGGCGATGTTTTGACGCAAAGGTTAGCCGAGTTGTCACGCGCATTCCTCTTGAGAAGCGTTCACGTAGAACCTAAAATCAATTTTTGTTTATCTTCGTTTCAAATTAAATGCTTCTTCTATAACATCTGACTTCATTCGAGACAGATTTGGTAGATCATTCACGCGTGTCTTTAGATGCCTCGTATCTGGATGGACTACTGTACGATAATGACGAAACGGCGGATTATCACTGATACTCGTCGTGTATTCGATAGGTGAATTGATAGGAGAAATGATATGCTCGTGTAATCGAAATGATTATAGAGCTCTTCGAGCGCTTCCTGTCACGCAGCATCTACGAATCTGGCCTCTGTATATCAAGTTCGTCACTAGTCATGATATTCCCGAGACAGCGATCAGAGTGTACAGAAGGTAGCATCATTTCGAAAATTCCTCAACTGAATTCCATAATTACATCATATTTTTAGATATCTTAAATTATATCCAAGAGCTCGGGAAGATTTTGTAGAATATTTGCAAAAGATTGATCAGTTGGACGAGGCAGCTAAGCAACTAGTCGCCTTGGTAAATGAAGATATGCCGGTTTCAGATAAAGGAAAAACTGTTCATCAGGTTGGGACTTTCATGATAATCTTGTTATATAATTTTTTGTTTTGCTTTCTGACTAGCATAATTCAACTAATTACGATTTTGTCTTTATTGAGTAAAAGCTCATCTTTTGCTCAATATATTCTTTCAGTTGTGGGCTGAGCTCTGCGAGCTTATCTCTAAAAATCCTAAGAAAGTATATTCACTGGATGTCAATGTTATTATGAGGCAAGGTATACAGAAATACTCAGATCAGGTATGATGTTTCCCACACCATCGTTTGAGCTTTGTAAGATCTTTTTGCAGGTTGGGGTACTGTGGTGTGCATTTGCTGAGTATTACATCAGAGCTGGACAGTTCGAAAGGGTCAATTTTACTTCATTTTTTCCTCTCTTACGATTAGATCAATTTCTTTCGAATTCTTTGCTTATGATGACAGGCTGCATTAATTCTTTTCATTCTTCAGGCTCGCGATATTTACGAAGAAGCTATGATTTCCGTCAAAACTGTCCGCGATTTTACCCAAATCTTCGATGCTTTTGCGGCTTTTGAGGAAAGAAATACGGCGGCACGAATGGATAATTTGGCAGAACCTCCTGATGAAGAGGATGAGTTAGAGCTAGAATGGTTGTTTGCCAGGTAAGCTTGTTTTATCTGTAGGCTTGACATGTATCCAAATTTGTAGATTTGAGCACCTCATGGCTAGGCGGCCGCTTTTGCTGAACAGCGTGCTTCTGCGGCAAAATCCACACAATGTGCACGAATGGCTCAATCGTGTTGCTTTATATGAGGGACAACCTGAGAAGGTAAAAAAAGGCTAGGAGGGGTTTTTCTTGTATAAATGCTCTTGCTTTACAGCAAATTGACACCTATCTCGAAGGTGTACGAACTGTAAAACCAAAGTTGCAAGTAGGTAAACTGAGCGCTCTGTGGATCTCCTTCGCCAAGTACTACGAAAAGGCGGACCAGTTGGAGGACGTGAGTTTCCTAAACATATCCGCAAATAGGATCTGTCATACACTCTTTTAGGCCAGGAGCATATTCGAGAAGGCCACACAAATAGCTTATGCGAAAGTGGACGAACTTGCTATGGTTTGGTGTGAATATGCAGAGTTAGAGCTTAGGCACAAGTGCGTTCGCCTCGTTTTCTTTGTTTTCTCACTCTAACATAAACCGTATTTTATCTTATTGTTAGGTCTTCCGAGCGTGCGATCGGCGTTCTGCGAAGGGCTTGTGCACCACCACCACGAAAAACAAACTACTTCGATGAGACCGAAACGGTACAAGCCAGAGTTCACAAAAGCTTACGAGTATGGTCGATGTATGCAGATTTGGAGGAGAGTTTTGGCACGGTAGGTAACGTAATCGCAAGAGTTTAGCAAATTATGAAAATTTTTCATTTTAGGTTGACTCATGTAGAGCAGTGTATGATCGCATTCTCGATTTGCGGATAGCAACACCACAAATAGTGATAAATTATGCAATGTTCTTGGAAGAGCATGACTACTATGAGTACGCTTTCAAAGTGAGTTTCTTTAATTCACCCTTAGGTTATTTTTTCTGTTCAAATTATTATAAATTTTCTTCTTCTAGGCTTACGAAAGAGGAGTTGCTCTGTTCAAATGGCCACAAGTGTTCGATATCTGGAACCTTTACCTCACTAAATTTGTCAAGAGATATGTGAGTGGTATCTACCGTTTCAATTTTTGAAATTTATTTCGCTTTTTAAGGGTGGGAAGAAGTTGGAACGAGCACGGGACTTATTTGAGCAGTGCCTAGAAACATGTCCTGCTAAATTCACAAAAAGTAAGTTAGACCTTCATTTTAGAAAGTCATAGAATTTTGCAGTTTGTTGTCTGTTCACAGCTGAACTTATAATGAGTAAAATTCGATATTCAGACATCTTCCTGTTATATGCCAAGCTTGAGGAAGACTATGGTTTGGCTCGACATGCTATGTCTATCTACAGTCGTGCCACAGAAGCCGTTGATAGAAAGGACATGTATTCGGTTTGTTTACTTCTATCTTTCAATAGTCTTAGTTTTTATTGTTGTGGACTAATTGTTTTTATCAATTTACTTCCCAGATGTTCAATATCTACATCAAAAAGGCCCAAGAGCTCTACGGTCTTCCACACACGCGACCCATCTATGAACATGCAATCAGTGTACTTCCAGAGGATGCTTCTAGGTAGGATTGGATATGACCATGGTTGCAGCGCCGTTTATGATTATTTGTAGAGAACTGAGTTTACGGTATGCTCAGATGGAACGCACGCTTGGTGAGATTGATCGTGCTAGAGCGATATTTGCCCATGCTTCTGAAATCTGTGATCCGAAGGTTGGCATTTGTCTTTTCAATTTTTCAGCTAAATGGATGGTTTTTCTACAGGTCCATGGTCACTTCTGGGATACATGGATGGACTTTGAAGTCAAGCATGGTAACGAGGACACGTTGCGTGAGATGTTGCGAGTGAAACGCTCAGTCCAACAGACATACAATACAAGCGTCAAGCATATGTCTGCGCAGATGATTGCGGCTGGAGCGGCGAAGGTAGTATCGTTATTATAAACTTCACAAGTCTTACATCTCTGTTTTAGGCTGCTGAAGAAATCAGATCTACCAATGCGATGCAATTGCTCGATAAGCAGGTAAATTTCCTGAATGTTCTCTACCGGCGGTATGGTAATGCAGTCTTCTATTTAGTCTGACAAATCAGCTGGAGGAATTGCTTTCGTACGTGGAGCCAGCAAGACCACTCAAATGGACACCACAGAAAATCCAGATGAAATTAATGTGGATGTGGATGACGATGATGAAGACGATGGAGCTGGTGAGATTTTTTGAGATATTTTGGTTTTCATTACCTAGAACTTCTTTCTTTCTCCCATACGCATGTTTGGAGATAATTCTGTTTTTTTAGCTATTGAAACGCAAGCAGTACCTGCAGCAGTTTTTGGTGATCTCAAAAGACCAGATCAAGAAGAAGAAGCAACTTGAATTTTATGTTTTTGTAATTCTAGATTTGTAAACTACCTGTTGTTACTTTTCACATTGTTATATATAATGCGTTTCGTGATCTGAGATAAATTATCCAATATTTGGGGTGGAGACAGGCATCTACATTTTCCAGTCAAATTCGACTTGATCTTGAAAAAGCTAAATCGTGCCACGACAGCCGCTACGATGATTACGCAACGCATGTCGATGCGATGTGTCATTTAGGTTGGAGGGGCAATACACTTACGCAACAATGCAAATCAGATGCCGCCGAAGAACTCGTTCAGCTATTGCGACAATGCGGCAGACATACGTTTTTGTATGAATATTGAACAACTTGTCGGAGATTTTTCTTCTTGCGCAGCGTGTGCCAAAATCATTTCATCTTTGAAGCGCTACGTCTTTCGAGTAAACTTCAAAGTGATCATTTTGCATGCTTTAATCGATATTTCAATTTGTAAATAGTCTTATCATTCTTTCAGTGAACAGAAAAGTTCAGAAAGACATTTCTTGTGAAGTGAGGCATCTCATAAAGAAATGGTAAACACTAGCAGTGAAAAAGACAATTTATCTTTCATTTTAAGAACTATAGAAGGAAGGGTTACCAAGAACTGCACAAGTCCCGCTGCAAAAGGTGAGGTCTACGCGGAAAAATCGCTCAAGAAAGTGAAAGAGACGAGGTCGCTCCGCCCATCAACGTGGGTGGCCTGAAGATACAAGTCCGAAATTGGGCTGGAATGTGTCCGAAATTGTGGAGAATTTGCCCTTCATCATGAATATGAGACTTTCGACAATTTATACACATGCCTAATTCCACTGTGTTCTTCAGACCACCCGCATTGATGGGCGGAGCTGCCACCGCCGCCTCCACCTTTGGAAGCGATTTTTCGGCGTCTGAATTCACATTTTGCAGTCGGACTTGAGTTGTTTACTTGATTGAAGGCCCCTCTATTGTACCATATTGAAATATCATCATCTCTATCTGGTTGGACGTTGCCTTTATGGTAAGGAAGAAAAAACAATCTTGTCTTTTTCTTGAGAATCAGTTATCTGCCGTAAAGAGGAAATTCCTTGAGGCATCACATACGTAATGATGTCGTGTCGGTCGGCATTTTAAGAGTTAAGACCGGTTGTGGTGGGTGATGGGGGTCGATGTGGCCAACGTATACCCCGTATGGTAAACGGGGGGGGGGGTTGCGCCATGTCACCTTCGCTGCTGCTGTGGCTGCTATCGCCTGCACTGTCACTATTCTTTCGCTATCAACACCGGTCTCCAACCTAAGTCAAGCCCTGTTCGATCTGTCGTCTTTCACATTAGGAAATCAATTCGCGTGCATTTGTGCCTGTGTCTGGATAAGAAAATCAATTTTCTAAAGATTAGAGTACCGTCTTGCATTCAGTCATTCGTCCAGAAAAACAAAATAACTTCTTCTTGAAAAATTTGCCTTCTTCATACCTATTCAATGCCCTCGCCTATCCCTTTTTTTGATTCTAAAAATTTAAATCATTTGATCAGCTCCTTCAGGTATCATTTATATAAACCAATTTAGTCATGCATTCAAACTCCAAATTCATTTTTTTCTCCGCAAATTTTTCTCATTGTTTTCTCTCTCTATACACTCTCGATGGTCCCATTCTTTGTGGCCCACTCAAAACTCTTCATCTCTTCCAAAAAAGCAACCTTTTGCCCCCAAATTTTTTTCTCAAAGTATTTTCTCCGTTCCCTTCCTCATTGTCCCAACATTGTTTGCTTTCTTGTTCATTTCGAGTAGAAGTTCCGCTCTGAGACACTTGACTTTTAACGTCTTTTGTTTAGAAGTAATTGTCAAATGTTTATATAGAATCGATTGGTGTTTTACCAGTTTCACAGAATTACTTATTACAATGAATATCGTTTTTGCTGCAAAATGAAATTTTAGGCATCATTTTTTTGCAATTTCTGTTTGTTTTGATAGATCACAGCGGCATCAGCAGTTGAAGAATGTGATGGAACTATTTTTATTTGTCATCTTTTTTTTCCATAAAGGCATTTCATGAACGAATATAAAAAAAATCAGGTTTTTCTCGCTATATCTTCTTCTCTGAAATGTATTTAGATAAGAGGTGATTGTATAATTTTCCCTCCATCATTTCTCTGATAACGAGTATTTATTGACGTCGATAACGGATGTTCGAGAGTGCTATGCCAAAATAGCTAGCTGTCAGACTTTTTTGCTGTCATTACATTTGTTGTCTTTTTTGATGTTTCAAAGATTTTCATAAGATTAATTGTGGACGCATTTGTAAATTGAGATGAAATCATCATCCGATACTAATGACTTTTATTATTTCGTATTTAATCCCTCTTAACTTCTTTGACTTGAAAGCTCGCGGATTTCAGAGTTCTTACGTCCTTTCGTGTTTGAATTGCGGTTGTTTTTTTTTTTCATCTTGGTGAGACGTGCCTCAAAAAATCTATGTTTCATTTCGATAAACACTACCGTTTTTCCTCTGATTAGTTCATTAAACTCAATAAACACTAAAATTAATCATCTTAAACTGCCGCCTCAGAATTATCCCATTTGCCATTTGAGTAAACGAAATTTTTGTGGTGATACTCATCACCACAAAAAACCTCAAAAGTTACCATCAGCTAAATTTCACATAAAGCTTTCTTGATGTAACTTCTGAAACTGAAAATTTTGAGGTTTTTTATTTTCAGTTTTATGCTCCATTGTTGCAGAAGTTACATCAAGAAGGATTTGCTAAAAAAATCAAAAAAATATCTTGCACATTCAATTCATAAACTCAATCAAGCCGAGGTCTGTTTATCTCATTGTTCGTTTATAAGCTTTATTGAAAAGTTAACAAATTCTTAATTGAAGTTGGTTTTCCACTTATTTTCAATGAAAACCATGTGAATTAACACTCTTATTGCTTCCTCATCACAAATGTTTTTTTTTTGTTTAATTCGAAAAATCTTGTAATTCCAGAAACTCTATGCTTATCTATTCTGCTAAAAAGAGTGCCATTTGATCGATTTTGAACCTTATGACTACCAAGTTTAATTAAAATTATCTTTTTGTTTAGTTGTTGCGTGCTTTGCTTATTCTGGCGACCTCTTCGAACTTATAGCTTCGCGATGAGATTTATGGTTAGCAGACTAGCTCGTTGTTTTACTCACATCTCAATAAGTGCTGAAATATTGAATAGGCTCAAAAAGCCGAAAAATCAGTTTTTTATAGTTATTCAGAATCTACTACTGTAGGATCTCTTTTGCCTGAGGGTAAGGGCTATTCGTACCTTTTGTAGAATGGTATGAATAGTTAAAAAAAATTTTTTTGTGTCAGAGACGAAAACAATCAGACCTCAACCCATGCGAAAGAGATGTATTTGTTATATTATTTTTCCGACAATCACTGAAAATTATGAATTCAAAGTGATTCTTTTTATTTTCAACAAATTTATGTCTTGACATCACTGGTTCTAATCATCTTCAACCATTCGTGAAAATATCAGTTTGATACTAATCTCCCCCACAGTAACAAATTCGGCGAAGCACTTCATCACTAGTGCAGTGCGTGCCACACACATAACCCCTGTTAACCTTCAACTCGTGGCCCATAAACTCTATCAAAGTGCGACGTCAATTTAGCGCTGACAGTTGAGGAGATCTTATCTGGGGTTTCTAATCACCTTGCTAAACTCGAGACGAGTTCTCTCGTTTTATCGCTTGGCACTCAATACATTTTCATCACTTCGACTGCCATCTAAGGCGATAAATCGATTCCAACCCCCAATCGTTTGCGCGCAATCAGGGCGTCATCACCTCTTCGGCTGACAGTAGATCCTACAGCTTTTATTTCTTTTCCTCAATTGTCATTTTTCCGCATTCTTCTCCCCAAAGCAAGTTAAATTCTCTTTTTTTCAGATATTTATTTTTTGATGCTCATGCTGTGATCTCTTCTTCATTTAGAACGAACAAATAGGTTTGTTAATTTCCAACTATGCCAAATAATGTTTTGGAGTACTGTAGTCATACTGTATCGTTATTGTAGAATGCTAGAACAAAGTCGTATGGACGTACGCTTTCACTTAGAAGGAACACCGTATGTTGCCGAAGACACAATAGGAACCGGCGCTTATGGGGTCGTATGCAAAGCAAAGCACTTGGTAAGAATTTGTTGTGCATTTCTTCTTTTTTTTTGTTTTTTTTATTTTTTACTACGATCATTCTCGTTAAAAAGCTTACAGTTATCCTTGCAAATAAAAAATAGAGAAAATATTGGATGGAGAAAAACGTTTCTGGGTATCGCGTGCTCAAATAACAAGAAAAAGAAAGCTTTGAATAGTGGCAAACTCCGCCCTCTTTCCGGACTCCTCCCACTCGGTCAGATAAGCTACATGCACGCGAGAGAATGATTGAAAATCTTCTCTTATTTAATGCATATCCGAGATAAGCGAATTCAGTCCAAATATGTCCGCAAACTTTCTCATAACCTAATAAGATTTGACTGAATTATCTTGGAAGATTGTATGGATCAATAAAATTTATAAGTTAATTTTATCGAAAGCCACAAGATCCTGTTATAGTGAGATGAAGTCATTAATTTGAGTCATAAATGTCAAGCCCATCACTTGCTATATCTGATCACTTGACGTTAATTCCGTCAACAACTTTTTCTTCGCAAATTATCGAATTTCCATTTTTATCAATACAGGATGAACAAGAATGTGCACACTTGATCATTGCTAAATCTTTGCTCAATGCCTTTTGCCAATCTTTGAGTCATTTTATAGAGCTGCCTTTAACTTAAATTTACAGTTACCGAAAGCTCTTCGTTACTACAGGATCATGGTAAGAACTTTCAGTATGCAGAAGATTGTGAAGTAGGCTACTTGAAAAAGAATATTTCAAAGAATTAGTTTGCGTAGCAGGATTTTCATGTATGCTGACTTTACTAACCAAGTTTTCTTGGGTTATTTGAGCTTTATTAATAGTGTAACTATATTTGTGAGGAACATTGGACAGCTGTTACTGTACCTAGAATAACTTATGACGGAAACATCACTTTGAAGTGCAAGTTTCATATTTGAAATCAGCAACTTCGATTAGCGTAGTGTTAAAGCCTTTGGCTTTTGGTTTTTTGCTGGAGTGAAATGTGACTCTTATTGACTCAACCCCCTTCGATTTTCTACCGTGATATTACGATAAAAAAAACGGGGATCGACACATATCACAAATCTAAGCTGTAGTCAGCTTTCAGAATGTTATTTGAAGGTTGGCGAAAGATATCGAAGCAAGAGATTTATTGACGAAAGAGTAGGCACATCTTTTGGGACAATCTATAAAACGAGCGATCTTGTCACACATTATGTATAATAGATAGGTATATATATTCAGCAAATTGATATTTTTTATGGCAAAAGTTAAAACTGCAATTAAAGCAAATTCTTAGAATAGGGTTACAAACAATGAAATTTCGCAAATTCGTCTGTCTTTCAGAATGTGTAAAAAGTCATGCCAAAAATATCCAGAATGATGCAGTATGTCATTTCTGATAAGAAATTCCTCAAAGATACGAGATGCTTACGTGCTTTTGACAAAAAAAAAACAGTATATTAAAAAAAACGTATGCCGGTCATGTGGAGATAGAAAGCCAGTAAAATTCCTGCATGGTTTTATCCCAGATGGATGAGCCATCATTTACGATTAAGAGAAAAAACGCAAATTGAAAGCAAATTTTTATATGTTTGAAGATTTCCAGTGAAGTTTTCCAAAATACAAAAAAATTTTATACCCAGTATTCATGATTTTGGACCATGGTTTGATTTCTTCTTCTCAATAGCTGAACCACAAAGACTAACGTAAAAGGAAATACAGTTTGTGTCAATCATAGTGGCCCGTTTCACCAGCATTCCCGCGTCTCAACTGCCTCACTCCGCAATCGCGGGATTGTCGTTTGGGTAATCAGGTTGGCGTCATTGTCTGTACGCAAGCCCATGCACTGCGGATGCGTTGCTTCGCATGCAAAAGGGACGCCGTGATTGAGACAGACTTTATGCAGCTTTATTTCGACCTTTTTATAACTACCAAACCAATCTTTTCTATTGTCTGGTAAAATGTCGAGGTAAATCTATCGTTTAAATATATTTTTCTGACAGCCTTCACAACGAGCTGTGGCAATCAAGAAAATTCCCCGCGCCTTTGCAGCGCATACGCTTGCAAAGCGTTCACTACGGGAAGTACGCATCCTACGCGAATTACGTCATGAGAATATCATTGCTGTGTTGGATATGTTCACAGCAGAAGGCACACATGTAAGGAATATTTCTGTAATTGCACAAATCACAACTAGAGCGCTGGGATTGTTACAGGGTCGTGACATCTATATGGTAATGGATCTCATGGAAACTGATCTGCATCAGATCATTCATAGTAGACAAACGCTAGTCGAACAACACTTTCAATATTTTCTCTATCAGATTCTAAGAGGCCTTAAAGTGAGTGTATCAAATTTTTCTCTTTTTTTTGAATTTTCATGCCAAGCAAGCCCTTTCATAGTACCTTCACTCAGTCGGAATAGTTCATCGCGACTTAAAACCCTCAAATCTGCTAGTCAATGGAGATTGCCTTCTGCGTATAGCTGATTTTGGTATGGCTCGATCTACGGAACAACTGCAAGAAAAGAACGACAAATTTCTGACGGTAGCCTATTAATAATCGATGTATCGATTTTTCTTGACATACGAGGCATACCGTATTCTAGCAGTATGTGGCTACACGCTGGTATCGTGCTCCCGAACTACTTTTTTCAATGATCGACTATGACACTAAGCAAGTGACAATAAAAGAATGCTGCTCACTTGCCAATATTGATTTATTGATTTTTAGGGTCGACATGTGGTCTGCTGGCTGTATTTTTGCCGAAATGATTATGCGGAGGCAGATTTTCCCTGGAAAAGATGGAGTCTCCCAAGTGAAAATGATTGTTTACTATTTAGGAACGCCTGAAGAACGAGTAAGCAGATTTTCATAGCCTATTCGGGAAAAATCAATTTTTTTAATTCTTAGGTTATGCAACAAATCACCTCTGACATAGTGCTTGGCTGGATTGAAAGTTGTGGAAAGAAAGAGCCGCTTCCATGGCAAGCAATTCTTCCGAAAGCCACTCCAGAAGCTCTAGAAGTCATCGACAGAGTGAGTTTAAAGGAAAACGGCCGTTTCGCACGACAGTACTCAACCTACCGTGCTTGACCTGTCTTAACGCGTCGGAATAGTGCGTCGCGCGCGACCGCGGTACTGGATGGAAATGTCTTAACAACAGGTCGTGCAAAATGGCCTAAACCATGTTCAATGCCGATTTTTGACTCTCATTCAACAACAATTTCAGCTTCTTCAAATCTCACCATGGAATCGATCCACAGCTGAAGAAGTGCTAGCTTTACCGTATCTCTCGCCCTACCATGACCCAGCCTTCGAACCTACTTGTCCCGTAAAGTAAGTATAAGCGTGCACTGAGGCTGCGTCTAGAATCGCCCGCGCCAGTGCCGTGCCAGCGCCGTGTCATCAATCGATCAATGCGGCGTGCATGCATCTGGGTTGCGCGCGGCGCTAAAACGGCACAGCTCCAACGCACCGGCAACACTGAGCAGCTTAATTTTTGAATGAAAATTGTTGGATTGAATTTTTCAGAGCAGGATTTGATGCCGATGCTATCGAGGAACTTCCCGTAGGGAAAGTCATAGAGCAGCTAGCAAACGAGGCCACTATCTTCGATGCCATTCGTGGGCCTTATGCCACAAGGTAATTTAGCAAATTTTTATATTTTTGTTTGCAAAATCAATTTATTGAGAGTTCATTATTATGTTGAAAGCTCAACCTATTGATTTCATTGCTGTAACCACTGCTTGAAATTTGAATATGTTGCCATTAACCAATTTTGCTTTGTAGCTGCTCATTGTAGTGATTTGCTTCGCAATATTACTAACTTATATATTCGTATAACGTGTCCACTACTCGGTGATGTCTCTTCGTGTTATTTGCTCATAAGCTCTAGTCAAGGTTCACAATACCGGTTAAACATTTTCATTTAATTTTGTGTTTGTGTTGCTTCGTCCAATAAAGCCATACTAATGCTTGTCTACTATTCAAACGGACGTATTGCTTCTCAATTATCATTGCAACTGTCAAGAATTGAGTGTTATTGGCAGAAAATAGAAGCTTAGAATTTTTCCACTAACATCCCTCAAGGCCCAACAAAGCTTAATCTGCACGGATATGCAAAGCTACACAAGCGACTCCTTCTCCCTCCCGTTAACAAAGATGTTCCCGAAACAAAAAACAAAAAAAAATCAGTGTGGAAGGATACATCTGCTAAAGCTCATTACTATAGTATATTTCTTGAGCTCCATGCAAACTAAACGTACAGGGCTTTACAACCTGAGTGTCACAGCCGCCCCGCTCGGCCGCCACGCTTAGGTCCGCGCAGCGTTCGTGGCGCTGGCTGCGCGTCGACCGGCCGCGTTGGAGGAGCCGCGCAAGCGGAGGCTGTGACTCTTATGTTGAAAAGCCCTGTACTTAAATTTGCTTTGATATGAGGCTGGCACGAAAGTTGCATCAGAGAATTCACGAAATGTATCTTGAATGGGACTTTATGTTTCTTCCCAAATATGTAAGATGGGTACCTAGCCGTGGCGCACTGATGGAGCTCCCCCCCATCTGTCCACAGAATGGTTCGCAAAATTTTTTGAATTACTGATAGGAGTTATGAAAATGTTCAAGAGACTGTTCACAGTTTTCAAAATTGCGATAATTTTCGTCCCTCATTCCTTAGAATTTCGAGGCCATGGGCCACTTAGAATTCTGGAAAGTGTCCAAGAAATTGGAGTGCGTGTCTCACGCCACGTATCTTCCAAGAAAAATTTGCAGCCCCCCCCCCCCTCCGGACGAAAATCTATGCCGCCACTGGTATCTACCGATTACACCAAATTCTATGTAACATCCTGTTTCCAACTTTTCTTGTTCCTCTACATTTTTTTCGTAAATTCATACCATTACGTGGAACATTCTACATGCTCAATCTTCGCAGCAGCAATGTTGCAACTTTTTTACCCCTCACTTAGTCGACTCACCTGATTTTTTGTTTTCTGAGTTTTACTGTGTTTCAAAGCCGCTCGTACGATTTTAGGCTAGCACATGTTTTCCACATACAGGGTGTTTGAAAAGTTCGTGGCCTAATGTACTTCTAATTCGAATTTTGATGCGTTTTTTGTTTTATTGTGTTCATCGGACCTAAATACCATCACTTCTGTAAAAATTAGATTTTTTTGTGGTTTCTTTGATTTTTTATTAGATTGAAACACATCAGAATAGCTTTCCAAACCCCTTCCCTCAAAACGCTTGTTACAAAAAAGGAAACATAATCTTCAGAAAACTTAGTATACCTTCTTAAAGCCCCTTCTTCAAGGTTTCTTAAGTGTGTTCTCACTTTCGTAGAAGTAAGTTTGTTTGAAAAATATCGTACCGCGAAAGCCAAGAGATCCACTTTCAGGATCTTTTTGTCAAAAAGTCCAGCACCGAAATTTTTATATCTTATCTTAAAAACCTTTGCAAGCGTACAAATTTCTCGAAAACGAATACAACGAAGGCCAGAGAGTTGTGCTACAAATACATGTTGAAATAAGACTTCTAAATTTTTTCAAACTGAAAAAATTTCAGCGCAAACAGGGTGCCGCGCCTGCCTGCTGTGATTCAGCGCATAAAAAATCTTTGTTAGCATGCTAATGTAAAACTTTTGTTATATAAAGAAAGTGTAAATCTAGGACTATTTGTAGTAAAAAAACCAAAAGCTGTTTGCCTTTTCCGGCGTTGGAAGAAAAGAACAAAACAGATGACGCACTCTCCAAGGAAGCTGAAAAAATTGTTTACTTCCAATTTAGGGTATTTTGAGGCAAAAAACATTTTTCTTTGTTGATTCAGTGGTTTCAAGGTTTGGAGAACACATATAGCAAAAAACGCGTCAAAATTCGAGTTGGAAGTACTTTAGGTCACGAACTTTTCAAACACCCTGTAAAATCAGAATTATGCGAAGATAACAAAAGCTCCAAAATGCCTTCAAAAATCTTTGAAAAAAAACTTATTTGTAATGCTGATCAATACCATTCATACTACTGGAGTAAAGTCATTTTTGGACTAAAGCCATAACATATGCCTACCTAATATAGGACGTTGTCTTGAGCAGTGGATTCTTCGTGTTCGCAGTCTGAAACAACATTTTTCTACAACTAGCAATGAATTTCGAGATTTTCATTCCACACCAAAGGCCTAACTTAATCCGACAAAAAGATCGGCACCATTACCCACCTGATAAGGCCATGTCGGAATCCTCTACGCAAATTTGGGTTACTTAATCAAAGTGCCGATAACACACTATCGGATGCATCCTACTACCAATGGGTGGTTTCCATTTTGATATTTATCCCAAATCTAACTCTCACAAGGGATGGATACTTGGTCGAAGTGGCGTTTCCATACAAAACGTATACTATTTTATAGAGCATGGAACGCTGAGTTCAAGCCTACTTTCGGTATCTGCAAAGCGCTTCTGAGAGGGGAGTTATGGAAATTTTTTGATGCAAAATTTTAAAAGCACCGCTACAATAAAATCATTCGCAGCCTTAGTCTGTGAGTTCAAATGGGGCAATGATTGCTACCGGACGTTTTATGGAAAAAGGCCTTCGATCTAATAAACTCATGTCAATCACTCCTTTCAAGCGCCAAAAAGGCCTCAACACCTATTTTTATCTTAGCCAAATCATTGAATTTCTACCTCAAAAAATTCGCATAACTTCCCTCACAAAAACGCTTTGCAGATACCGAAAGCAGATCTTCAGCGTCTAATGCTCTATAAGATAATATGCATCTTATACGGAAACGCCACTTCGACCAAGTATCCTTTCCTTGTCAGATATTCAGTAAATAAGAACTGTGCAATCTGCTTGCTCCTCCACCATATTTGATAAAAGCGCAGGAACATTGCATAGTGTGACTTTATCGAGAAGAGATCTTGCTCAAACCAGCTATTTCTAGAACAACACCTCCTTCACCTTTGCCACCTGACGACGACTGTCAGCCGTCCACAAGTCGTAGTGCCGATCCAAGGTAGTTCAAACTTCTTTTCAACTTATAACACTTTCCGATTAACCGATATTTAGCGACGAGATCACTCCTCACAGCTCGCTAAGTTCATCATCTTCCGGATTTACGCTCATTCGGAGTTCCGCCTCATCTACACCTCGGATAAACTCAGGATCTTCAGCGCTTTCTGATGAGACAGTACTCGAAATGGATACGAACAGGTAAGTCTCAAAAAGTTGAAGCTAGGCGAAAGAGCTTGTGTGTTTAAGGTTATCTCAAATTGAGGATTCAGCTGACAGTACTCCCGAAAGCAGCACTTCAAGTATAGCAAACATTGCAAACACAGAGTTCAGCAGATACTTGCAAGAGGGCACAGACTGGCCACTGTGTGAAGCAAGCACTAGTTCAGCGCCTCCAACGATCAACAGGTGAGAAAGTTGGCTTTGGTAATTCTGAAAGCATTACTGACTATAAAAAAATATTTTAGGGATAGTTTGAACGCCAAACAAACACTGCGAACTGCTTTGGAGCGTAAAGTGCTTCTAAAAGAGATGAGGAACAAGGATGGACGAGACATTCGACAGCACCTGAAAACAAAAGACCGAGGCAGGCTCATGGTAGGTGCACATACTCGAGTAATTTGTAACTTGATATGTGAGTCTGCGCACTGCACGCGGCATCGACGACATCTTTACTAGTAACTCCATAGTAAAACCTTTTCTGGTGTAACAAGCTGTAGAAATGTGTACTACTAACTAATACATATCCAGTTAGATAAAAAGAAACAAGGAAACAGCTAGACCATTCAAATGAGCAGGTTCCAGTCTTACAAGTCGTCAAGTACTGCGCATGATGTGCAATACGCATATTAAGTTGCAAATGACTCGACGATCAAAAGTAATAAATTGATGGTAAGTATCCACATTTCAGAGCGACATATCAACAGACGAAAAGAAGAACCCTGATCGATGGCAAAGCTTGCTTTACAAAGGGAAGTTAAGAGCACGACCCTTAGGTCGACGAAAAAGCCGCGACTCCTATCGGACACGGCGGCGACATCCAAGTGGAGATGTGCGAAAATCCACAGATTAATAAATATAAAACTGATGGCTAGCGTATTGCATTCACAGAAAATTTGCACGTCACAAAAACAAGAAAAAGATTGGATAAGAGTGGCGCGGCAAACTGTTTACATTGTAAAGATTCAATATTTATTTGATAGACCAGTGGATGAGGTCTTTATCAAAGCATGCAAACTATACATAGAATGGAATAACAACTATCAAGCCTCGTTTATACAACAGCATCACCGGAAATGTCGCTCTCGATAGGCATCAATTTCTTTCAGTGTAATAGGTCCTCCGACCAAATTCAATCTGGGGTCGCCTTTTTTCAGCAAAGCTTCAGCCTTGTCTACAAAAGTTGCAATTTTTGAACAAGACGCGTTTGTGCATATATTCACCTTTGACTACTTCATGATTTTCTCCAAAAGCGTTTTCATACCTATAACCGGCCCACATAACTAGCGGTGCGATAGGGATGGCAAAATCCTAAAATTGCAGGTCTTCAAATTATCCAGAAAGTTATGATCCCTCACCTTCCTCTTCGTTATAGATCCTGCTGCTAACAAGATACAAGCCATAGATGTTGCAGCAGCAAACTCGAATGTAAATAGGTCTTGGTGCCTTACCAACTGGAAAACAGAAGTAAAAATCTAAAAAAAGACGACGAACACATACCTCCAAAGCTCGTTTCTGGGCAAAATCAAGATTCTTCAAAGCAGCTTCTGATTCGGTCTAAAATTTGGAAAATTCACAGAAGTCTGTCAAAAAGAGTACCACAAGACTAAATATTGCGCACGTATAATAGGAATTAACTCGCTGTAAAAAATCTCCAAATTATATGTATAACGTAAGTATATGTAACAAAACATTATTTGAGTAAAAAGGCGAAATTCACACTGTATATTAGAAATATAGAAGAAAAAATAGCTAAGAAAAAGACCTCACAATGTCATCACTGCGCAGCCTCAGCTCGGCTGCACTTTGCTCATCAATTTGGGACGATTGTGCCTGTCCCATCTGAATTAGTACCCTACAGTAACAGTGACCACCTTCATTCATATTTTAACTGAAAGGATATTCGCCAAACGTGCAATTTAGCCAATTTCATACCAGTAAGAACATTTATTACTATCAACTTATCACAGCTATTTGTACTAGATCGAACAGCACTCTCTAAGAGCAGCTACTACATGGGGACATAAATGCAGTGACAATCCAGTTGCCCTGTGGTGATTTGAAAAACACAAACCACATCTTATCTCCTCTACTGCGCTAGATACTTCTCATCTTCCCTAATTTGCCTCAATTCTTCAATTCGTTTTCGAACATCTTCGACAGATATCGCACTGGGCACCAGCTCATCAATCTTTTCAGTTCGAATTTGTTTTGCTGCCTCTGCAAAAAGGGACATTGATTTGAAAAAAGGACCTAATTGTACTTACTATCAATAAGAGCTAATTTGTCTCCATAGCAGTAATGCGCTTCATATCCCAAGTATGGAACGGCGACAAAAATGGGCAAAAGATGCATCATGTTCCTGAAGATTTAACATACTAAACATGGCAGTTTATACACAGTTTTTGGATCCAAAAAAATTGGCAAGAAAGAGATGCAGTGTTTATGTCTATGTTCAGCTGATAATGGAATTTAAAAGATTCGGGTAGACTAGTGAAGGACAGCTAGAGAGAGCGAGTCATGGCTATGCATCCAGACAAGGCATTTAGCGGAAAAAATTTTTAAAAAATTTCGCGACGTAGATAAATTCAATCATAAAAGAATCGAAAGCTTACTTGTGATGCATCCACGAGAACACACAAAACATCATCATAATACCGCCTCCAGACGCTGTCCATTTCAATTTCTCTCGTTCTTCAGCTAACTAGAACAAAAAAATCTTTACTCGAATACGCCTTACCGAAAACTTAGAGATCAGATTTCACAGTTCTTGTTTAGGATATTGTAGCAAGGTTATTATGCTGGCATACTAGGGCTACACGGTGGATAGCGATCAACTACACTTTCTACATCAAGAGATCACGAACGTAATTTGCGATTCCCACAAGATGCATACAATTACTGAAAGCTTTGATACAGACTCTGATCTGCTTTCCTTATCTGCAGAACAATTCTCGGAAGAAAACTAGCTTTTTAATTTGAATATAAGCCTCTCCTGCAATCAATCATGCAGATCTGATACTGCGATAAGTGACTTGAACCATAGACAACCGGCTAAGAGTGAGTTCGAGTCCTGTTGCCTGATGTTTAGATATACTATGTCATAGGCTCAGCCATATATCACGCGATTTCATCGTCTCGCGATTCTCGCAGAGACAACTGCTATGGGTCCGTTGCATGCACATCCTACATTTCGATTGTGATAGCTCCCCGACACGACTAATTGCGAATAACAAATGCAAGATGATCTGCATACCATGAACTCGTAAGAGTTGTTTTGCTGGGGAAATTGCGAGGCGACGAAATCGCTTGATGTATGCCCGTCCCTTATGGGGTTTAAGGAAACGCAAATGCTTTTCGGCAACAGAATTCGAACTCGTAGCATGATGCTCGTGAGGGCAAAGTCGCTCACTGCTATATCAGAGGCCCACAACGACTGCGTGCTACGCCTCAAAAGTGGGACTGTTTTCGATGGAAAAAGCTCATTTTTTTCCCAGCACATTCTGTAAGGAAGGCAGATTAAAGGCAGCGTCCAGACAAATCTCGGACTTTGGGGGGTCTCCCTTGGAGGGTAACCTTGGAGCCCTGACTAAAACACTGCCCAAGCGCCAGCTGAGATGGTGAACTCACAGTTGAGATATTCGCCTCCAAACTGGATACCGGGATCGTATCGCATGGATCATGGCGCGACATTTCAAGTTCGCGCGAGGGCCCACGGGTGTCGCGCCATCCATGCGAACGACCCACAAGTCCAGTTTGGAGGCATATCTCAACTGTGAGTTCACCATTTGAGCTGCCGCTCATGTCTCAGTTAGGGCCCCAGAATTATCCACATCAAAACCCCGTATGTCCAGATTTGCCTGGACTCTGCCTTTGAATCAGCGTGTCAAGCTCTGAGTAACGGTATGGCACTGGTCAGACTTCGAAAGCGCTCAAAGGCGCTCAAAAGTGCTTAAAAGCGCCCATGAGCGCTCAAAAGCGCCAAAATTTTCTTTAAGGAATCGGTTAGAGTTTGCCAGTGTTGCCGGTGTTGAAAGTGTGGAAAGTGTTACCGGTGTTGAAAGTGTTGAAAGTGTTACCGGTGTTGAAGTTGCCAGTGTTGAAAGCGTTGCCGGTGTTGAATGGAGATCACCAGTCTAGCAGTTTCATTCTTTCTGGAACGATCTCACCGGCTGGTGAATACGTTGGAAATGGAATTGGGGAATGAGAAATGAAATTGAAATGACATGGGGAAGATTTTCGCATGCAAAAGATCCTCAAACAAACTTTTTGGAAAGTGGACGGCTTGTCTGGAATAGGCAATCTCCAATATTTGAGAAGCTGACGTCTGAGTAGTAATGTGTTTTAGTTCGAATCCTGCCGTGCTTGCGATTAGTGAGTAAAGGACCTAAGTGAGGTCTGCAGCGTTTTCAAATATTGGAGACTGCCTATTCCAGACAAGCCGTCCACTTTCCAAAAAGTTTGTTTGAGAATCTTTTGCATGCGAAAATCTTCCCCATCTCATTTCAGTTTCATTTCTCATTCCCCAATTCCATTTCCAACGTATTCACCAGCCGGTGAGATCGTTCGAGAAAGAATGAAACTGCTAGACTGATGATCTCCGTGTAACACTTTCAACACCGGCAACACTTTCAACACTTTCAACACTGGCAACACTTGCAAACTCTGACCGATCCCTAAGCTCTCTTCACTTTGAAAATGTTCAAAGAAATTAGAGCGCTTTTGAACTTTTGAGCGAAGTCTGGCAGGAGCTTATGCATACATAATGTAAAAGCGCACAATATGCATTTCGACTTCACCCTCCGCTGTTTGAGCAAGCAGTAAAGTCGGAAAAAACAAAAGTTAGAAAAGTGATCAAAAAATCAACCTTGTAAGCCCTCCGTCGCTGTTCCAAGAGCTGCTCTATAGCCAGTTGACGTTCTATCTGGATTATGACAGAAGATAAGTAATTGTAACAAAATTTAAAAAGTCAACAACGGTGACTTACCCTAGTTTTTTCAAGTTCAGTATAGAAATGCAAGTATTTGGCGGCAGCGCTAGGACTAGGCAACGAAAGGTTGCTACCCATAACCTGCTAAAACTTGCAGAAACCGAAGAGTACAGAAATGAACGTGCAAAGCCTTGTAAAGTGTTTAACGTGGACAGGTCAACATATTCACGTCTTCGCGAGTAATCAGACGAGTTGTACGCAACTTCAGTCAAAGTTTTTCAGGCGACGTCAGCGTTACCGCAGGAATTCAGCTGATTTGCATTTTGAGCTGCTTCGATTTGCTTCTGTTCTTTTCATTCGTTTTTTCTTTCGTACTAATCGTTCGGAATATATCTTTTCTTAAGGCTTGGTTGTATGCTTTGAATGCACTGTCAAGCTTATGCAACATTCAATTCTCTTCACACATTTCTCGGCGTGGACCATGTGCTGTCCTTTTTTTATTTTTGAGCCAGCTTCTGTTCAGAAACTTGGAGCGCGCTTGCTGCGAACGATGCTGTTCTTCGTCGCCTTTGCGTCGATTTTGATAGGTGCAGCTTTTGCTGAGGTGAGTGGCTTATCTTAAACTTTTATTTGGTAAATTTTACTCGTACTTGCAAATGACAAGTTATGTTCACTGTATTTGTTACGATACTGCTCTTTAATGGAGTCAAAGACTCAAACCGTATAATTTGCGAGGACTTTGCAACTTAGTAAGCCTTAGCTGATCCACTTGATCCGCTTGATCCACTCGATCCACTTCACTATCACATCAGCAGTAAACTGACCAGTAGCGATGTATCAAGTTTAAAGCGGACATCTATTTCGATTTTGGTCAGTTCACGATCTAACCAATAGTGAAGTGGATCAAGCGGATAAGTAGATCAGCTATGGCATATGTCTTAGAGAATTGGTCAGCTGATGCACCCATCATTGCCTATTCGTTTTGCGCAATAGCGGCATTTGGTATTGCTGCGGTAAGTAAAGGGTAGGTAGCAAGTCTCGAATCTGATCGGGGCTATGTTTTTTTATAGATGCTGCAAACGATTTGTATGCTAGAAACTCTCAGCGTAAGCTTTATAACAAACCTTCTGCCTTACCACCTCCTTCCCTCTTCAAGGTTCAAGGAGACTTTTGTGTCAGCCGGGATCATAACTAGTCAGTATAGCTTATCCCAAGTAGGCTGGGTTGTGGATACCTAGCCCGAGACGTTGCCTATCCGGATCGCTTGTGAGTTTGCGAGGGCGCTGGCATTCTCCATTGTTTACGTTGATCTAGCTTATGACACATTCAATTCTCTAGCCCACTGATTATCATATTCCATATGATGAATGAGCTTCAATTCTCTCATTTCTTGAGTGTTGCGTTCATCTTGTCCTTTTCTTCCTTTTCGTAATTCTTCGGCGCACCTAGTACGTGATAAAATAAGTTGATTGTTTGGTTTTGTCTCATTTAGGTTATCTTCCTGAACAATAATTCTAGGCAAACTTGCGGCTTTGACTCATCCGCACATCGTAATCTCCCATTTATACTAGGCGGAGTACTGGAAACGCCTAAGGGACCCATGATACTTCGCCGAAAAAAGCCCGAAAGAGCCGAAACGCTCTTTCCGTTTTGACGCTAAGGTGTGTATTGATTTCGCAACCGAGTTTTTGCTTTATTTTCTGTCGTCTGCACATCAAAATAATGTCAAAATTCTACCAGAAGGTCGTTTCTGCGTTCCGGTTCTTTCGGGTTTTTTCCGGTTTTTGGGCTTTTTCGGGCTTCTTTGGATTCATTCGGGCGCTTTTGGGCTTTTCTCGGCGAAGTGTACAATCTTTGATGTATAAAAGCCCCCTCCCCCTTCCTTCCTCAATTCATAGCTGGGACCAAATGATGCTACCATGAGAAATGAACAGCGTGCTGAATTATTTTTATGATGTTTTAAAGTGCACTATTCTACAAGTCAACTCAATGTAGTAACGAGTTGAATTTCTCTCATTCAAACTGGATTTCAGGCAAATTTTGAAGATACACGATGTCGTTGTGTTTGTCCAAGTACAATGTATTTCGTCGGCGATAACAGTACTAAGCAAAGCGATAATCATCGACGATATTATACAATGACAAACATCGGGCCGAGTGTGTGGTAGGTCGATTACGATTATCCCGTTTTTAAAGGCTATATGTAATTTTTAAGTAATCCGCAATCAGTTGTGAAAACTGAGGTGACAAAATATGTAGATGAAACACACATGGATGCGTTCTTGGCGAACTGCGACTGCCGATTCGAGAGCAGAAATACAGTAATGCTCAAGGTATGGTCATTTGCAGTCTTTAGGATGTGATCACTTTCTTCTTTTTGCCTACATTTTTTTTCGTTTTTTTTAAAGTTCTTCTTCATGTATCTTCTAATGTGTGGCTCTTCTTTATAAAATATTTGTTTGCCTCAGGTCGTCGTTATCTTTGTAATCTGCGTGATTATGTTGCTGGTAACGTACATGGCATTCCTTCTTTGTTTGGATCCCATGCTTAGGAAACAACGGTTCCAGTCATCGTATCGTCAACAAAACGATGAGGTAAGGTTTTTTATGAGTAATGCATGTGTCTTAGCTCGAGATCTTTTCAGATGGAAGACAATATATTTGCCCGAGCAACGGAAAGCTCGTCTGCAGAATCGACAGTTCCGACAAATATGCGCGCTAGAGCAGGAAGCAAATCAAGTTTGTTCATTTTTTACTTTTTCTTTACTACATAGCAGAGGATTCATGTTGTAGATGTGCTTGGACGGGTAGAAGCTGAACAGAATCGATGGATGAAGAAGGTCGAAGAGCAGAGAAGAAATATCTTTGAGGATCATACAATGCTCAATTAGAGCACTGGGTCAGCTGTTATCTGAAAGTGAAGGTTTGAAAATCCGAGAGGAGACACTAAGGTTTGATTTACAATACTCGTTTGGATCCTGATATCTGGGCTCAGAGATGTCCATTGTTGTTCTATGCTTTACACTGTTCTGTTTCACGATTTAAAGCCATCCTTAGTTTTTTTTATATATAGTGACTCACTGTAGTTACATGCATTATATACTTACCATGTGATTGTATATATGGGGAGAGTAATAAATATATAGATTTCGCGCAGTCCCACACTTACACATCCGTGTTAGCTTATGTTAGTGTAATAAGCGCTTTATCAGCCTTATACAAATATTGTGAAGCGGTGCTTGTGCGTGCTAACAGACAGGTGTTTGTTTTGTTCCGGTGGAACAACTAGGGTCGTAATGAAGAGCTTGAACCCACTGCGACTTCACAGCCACGGACTGCTATCACGCAACCTAGCCGATGTCTTCTTTTGTGTGTAAATCTTTCTCAAAGAAAAAATTCACTTGAAGATTACCTTTAAAGATGTCTCCTACTTTCGAATTCCCCTTTCTTCTTCACATCATATTTTTACCTACCCTAACTGTCCATAATCCAGCATTTCTCTCGACATTGGCATTCGGCTGTTTATGATGCGTTGTAGACGCGATTAATGTCACATAACATGAGGATCAACACTGTTCATCATTAACCTTTCAATATCACACTCCTCGAATGCATCAGAATCCAGTTCAAAAAATCTATACAATAGGCTAATCTAGCACGGGTTTGACGATTAGGTACTGCACGTGCGGTCTCAACAACATTTGCGCGCAAAATTGGCCATTAAGCTCACACTACAGACATCGGTAAATCTTTCAGAATTTTCGCTTATCTAGGATTATGCGTTGCGTTGATCCCAAAAATACACATAAGAGCGAGAATAGAGTAACGTGTTTCTCAGAGCATTTTATTTCCGCAGGTCCGCCAAGAAGAGATGCAGGCATTCGCTGCGGGACCCTAAGGATTATAAAATTGCTATGCGCAAGTCAAGCGGAGGATCGATTCTACAAAGTCCATTATTCTAGTTTGAAGAAAACTTTTATGATGAGCGTCCGTTTCGTCCCTTCTTTCAAATAGAGCTCTAATTCTGGACCTCTTCGGGTCTCCTCAGTGAATAGGTCCTAAATCAATTGATTCAGAAGAAAGAATTTTTGGCAATTCTAATATCTTATATATTTTGAACGACTTTGTCGGACGGTTTTCTGCGAGTGGCAAAGAAACATGTATATATAAGCTCCTGCAAGACGAAGGCGGTTGGTTCGAGGTACGACGTGGCTGTGACGCGGCTGTGACGCGGCTGTGACTCGGCTGTGACGCAGCCATGTCGCAGCCGCGTTGCGCATTGAATCGACCGCCTTCGTCTTGCAGGAGCTTATACACACGATTCTTTACGCATAGACGCATGATACGCAAAGACTGGGCGCCGTTGCGTCCGGCTAAGATAGTTCGTGTATGGGAGAGACAGCAGATGGTGAGAGAAACAAGAGCGCTCGATCGGAGAGACGCCGCTACATCCGTAGTCTTTGCGTGCTATGAATCGCCTATACTTGTCCTGACTTGTTTCTGTGGTTCGTTTATAGTTCTTGCGTTCCATGACCTCTTTTCACGCCCAAATGTTACCAGCTAATCAAGGAACGCTGTTTCAGTGACAAATCCATACTATACGACACCTAATCGATTATTACACTGTAAAGAAACTGTCACAACGAGAATATTTCTCTTCGTTGAGGGAATCTCGATTTCCTCGGCTAATGACATGTCCTCCGTTGTTTACTACACACACAATGGCGGGAGGGGTAATGCGCGGGTGGGGAACCCCCGTCAACATTAACGGCGTCGTATTGATCATCGCTCAGATATTCTACGCTGCTGCGTGAGAGTAGTCGCTGTTTCTGCTGATATTAATGCCCATCAGGAAACGTTTGATACATTTAAAGGAGCGATTCACGCAAAAAGAAGACAATGGTGCTGGTGATGATGATGGGGTGGGTTGAAATTAATTTTGAAAATTTCTTAAGCGATGTAAAATATTCCAGTTTAGTAGAGAGCAACATTATTTATCTGAAGTATTCTGAGTGATGATTCGCTTTTGAGCAGAACAATAAACTATTCCTTGGTTCAGGTCTCTTGATAGTCAATAGTTATTTTTCTGAATTTTTTATTCGAAAATTTCGCTCTTATTAGATTGATTAGTAATACACAAAATCTTTGCGAAACCTTAATTCTTAGCCTATCAGTAAACGTCTGAGACATCTGAAGGACAAATTCAAGCCAAAAGAATAAACTAGTAATAAATTTAAATGATATATTTATATAGTGTAGTGCTAGTTAAAACCTAAGATATTTAGATATTTTTCTAGAACACTAAACCATGTTACTCCGTTTCGTTCCTTCCCTTAGACGGAGTTTAAAATGAGTTCTAGGTCTTCCCCGGAACTCCTCAGTAAGGAAGGAAGACCCAGAATCATGTATTATTTAAACATATTCTTTATAATTGTAAATACATGAAGTTTGTTTGATTATTTTACGTTTTATTATTAATATTTTAAGTATTTACATGAATTGTTGAGTACTTACCAATGATCTTCTTGCTGTTTAGTAGTGTTCATATTGAATATATTATTACAATATGATATTGTTGAATTGATGAGATTCATAGATATATATATATATATATATGACCGTATGAGTTCGTATACATGATTAAATGAAGTATACTTCGTTTCATTGTGTTTATAGTTTTTCTTTGGTTCATTTCATTTTCAACAAAGAAGTTGTTATGTGATTATTTTCTTTAATAATAATGTAGTTATTTTATATATCAGGTATTTTTATGTAATTCTAAAAGTAATTTGATTCGTTGTTCTTTTAGTAGATTATATTTGTAAAGTATAAATTCATTTCTTTTCAAACATTTGAATATACTAGTTATAATTGTAGTAATATCATATCCATTCTCAATGGATGTATATTTGAGTTGTAATATTCTGACTAGAAAGTCTTCAAAGAGTGAACATGTACGTGCTATTCTCAATGTTTCCGTGTATATTATCGCTTTTTTGATATTATTAGATAAGGAAGAAGTAGAATGAATGAATCTTTTAACTGGAAAATTGAAAGCATCAGTTTTGTTGTATAATTTAGTTATTAATTTATCTTTATATGAGATAATAGTTAGGTCTAAATAGTTGCATGTGTATTCGTTGTCGTTTGTTGTTTCAATTTGGAGTTTATAATCATAAATTTCTTTAATCCATTTTTGTATTATATCATTATCTGTATTGTGTATTACTAATAAATCATCCATATATCTATAAGGAATTATATTTTGTTCATATTTTAGTCTTTGTATTGAATATTTATATTCATACCATGATAAAGTGAGATCTGCTAAAATAGGACTAAAGTTACCTCCTTGAGGTACTCCAGTTTTTTGTTTAAGAATGTATACACCAAATTTACAAAAGCTATTGTTTATAATGTAGTCTATTAAATAAATTAGGTCAGTTATTGTGTAATATTTTGTATATGGTTTTATATTTGTTATATCATTTGTGTAATAGATTTTGTTGTTTTTATTTATTATGTAGTTCTTATCAGCATTTTTGAAACATAGTTTTAAAAGTTCTTTCATATTAGTTTTTATAATGTTATGTGGAAGGCTGGTGAACATGTTTGTAAAATCAGCAGAATATAGTTTTTTATTTTTCATATCAATGTTTGTAATAATGTTACTTATATTTATATTGTCTATAGACCAGTATCCAATAAAGTTGTGATTTCTATTTTTTATAGATTGAACATATTTTTTAAAATGGTTTCTGATAAATTTAAAAATAGTATTCAATTCAATTGCTAAGGGTTTAATACTACTGTGTGTTGCTCCTGTTATGAATCTAAATTTTACTGGAGACTTATGTAATTTGGGTAAGCAATATATGAGTGGTATATTATTAATTTCTTGTTTAGAAAGTTTATTGTTTATACAAAAAATTGTGTGTCTGTTAATGATATTATTAGGTTTTTCATTTTCGTATAAGTCATATGTTTCATTATAGTCAAATTCGAATTTTTGTAAGTGTTGTGAATATTTGATGCCAAGTTCTTTCATAATTATGTTTATATATAATTTTATACATATAATGCCATAATTGTTGTTTGCTTTATCTAGTGGGCATATGATAAAATTATTTTTGAGATTTTTGAGATAACTACAATTGAAATTATAAGGTATAGCACCTTTTAATTTTTCTCTATATAGTAAAGGTTTCAGTTTATGAAAAATTGTTTTCTTTAGGTAATTTTTTATGTTTAAGTTTTTTTCATAATTTAGTTTGAATTTAGTTATGTAGGTATCCATTATTATTTGTACCACATTGTGTATCCAATTTACGATTTCTTTTTTGTTAATATCTTTCTGACATTAGACCTGCAAATGTTGTTGGGGTGGGTTTCTATCTTGAAAGCGTTCCAGTAGAGTAGTCAATTGGGTTATTATTGGGTTTGCATGATACCTTTGTTCAATAACACTTTTATTCGTACCACAGGGATGTTCCGTAAGTCCTACATAGACTTTTGTTTTCCGAAATCGTAATTTTTCCTAGCCTATCAGAAAACGTTTGAGACATCTGAAGGAGAAACTCAAGCCGAAAGAAGACAATAGAGCTGAAAATGATATTGGGGTGGGTTTCTATTTGGAAGCTTTCAGTAGAGTAGAAAACCGTAGTCATGTCTAGAGCACTTATTGGTTAAATATCAAATCTACGGTATTGGTAGTCATTCGGACTGTTTTGACTTTTTTGCTTGTGCACAGAACATAGAACTTTCCCTTGGTTACATCTATCAAAAATGTAGCCGATAATTACTGGTTATTTCTGTTGTTTGTTCAAAAATTCATATTTACTAATTACTAATTCATTTATTTTATTTACCATTTACCAATTCACTCATATTTCTTTTATTAGGTTGATACTTAAGTCTTACACCAATAATCTTTGGAAATTCTCAATTTTTCCTAATTTCAGCAGATTTTGACTTTATTTATTCCTTTGTTACAGTTTCCTTGATTAAAAAAACCTCACTCTTATTCCTGTTATTAGGTTAGTCCGCAAGTCTTACACTGAAATTTTGAAAAATTATATATATATGTTTTTTTTGAATACCAAAATCTTATTTGATTTTATTTTGCTTTACATGAAAAAATCATGCGCTTTTTAAGTAGTTGGTAAAATAATCCATTGACAAGATAGAAGATACAAGTTGATAAACAAAAACATCTTTACAAAACTTTTCGCTAAAAATCTAAAATGCTAAAAATTCGAGTTTGTCTCTAATTTGGTTTTATGGCGCAATCTTTTCAACCAGTTTGGATCCCTCTGGTACTATATATGTTTTACTCTATGAAATTTTTAGAGTGCCTTGTAAAATAAAACATGCTGTATATAATTTATGATAAATTTGAAAAACTAGGTAGTATTATATATTTTCGGTTTGCGACTCATGGGCTACCCTAATAATTACTTATGCACCGATGGAACCTGACACTTTGTTCACACTTCTATAACAGCATAAAACCGTGCAATTTGTAGATTCCTATCTTTTTCTCCCCTCAGAATCGAGTTACCAGACATTCTTCCACATGTAAAACTGCTAATTTTCCACATCTAATTGTTCCAGTTCTACTTGTGAGTCATAGAGCCTTCTGACGTCAATGCAGAGATTACCCTACACGCTTAAGTGCCCACTTCTGACCTTCTCGTTTGTTTATCTCTATGTCACTTCCTTTGTTCAGCTGGGAACCAGTTTTCACCCCGCCTATACACTCATTTCCTAGCGGTAACGAGGCAAATAAATCTGCCATTAACGAGCATAGCATCTTCTTGGGTGGTCTTTTTTCCTGGGGTGATAAATGATCTACATAGCTTGGGCCAGGACAGCTTTTTTCGATATTACGCATTTTTTCCTCGGATCAAAGAGTATAGAGTTTCCCGCTCAGACAACTGTTGTCAATTTTGATGTGACAAATGAATGACAATGACATTTGCGAGGAAGACAAAAGACCAACATATGGTCCAAAGTATCATTACAGCGGGAAATGCTCATTTTCTTTGTTGGGAAGCACTTTCGGCCTAAAGGCCAGGCAAGCAATATAAGCTTGAAAAAATGTTATTCAGTAGTGCAAATTGTCGCACAACACTGGTGAAATTAATATGCTGGGATTAAGCTCAGCAAATTCGTTAGAACTTTGAATATACTGTCATCGAAAGACTGTCAGAATTTTGATCTTCAAAACGTCTGCTTATTCATTCTCATTTGTTTTTGATTTCGAACCAAGGCCAGAAAATCCAATTATCAGAGGGAACTGCATCAACATTCCTGATTGCCTGATGTTTTCCGATGTCTGCATATATATAGTAAAACAAATGCGAGTTAAATGAAGTGTTTTTCAATTTCAAACACACATTTGAGCAAACAATTTGTGTAAATGCACCGTATGTAAGTTTGCAGTGGAGCGTCGGGTAATAGGATCACTATAAAAATTCCTGAAAAGCAAGAAAAACTGTTGGATAAAAACGATGACACGATTCTGAAAAAAAGGGCCTCATGTTGTGGCCTTCAATTTGCCAACATCTAATATATATATAAAGATATATAAAGAATCGTGAGCTCAATTCAGAAATCTTCAAATAGCGGGAAATCGCGGCAGGTCCCGAAGCGAACGCTTTTCCAAATAGCACCTTTACATTACTGGTTCACTAGTACAGTTCAAATGTAGTGCAATTAGACGACGTAACTGCCTAAATCAGGATGAATGTATTTTGCAAATCAGGAAACAGCCATATGAAGAAGGAACAAAAGAAATAAAGCATTTTTCTCAATACAGCAGCTGGAATGGCTTTAAAGTTGCCCCATTCAAAAAACAGCAATGTAATGCTCCAAAACTATTTACAGATTCAAAATTTTGCTGAAAATTGCTTCATAATTG